TGCTCCTCCTATCAGAACACAGCAGCTGCCACGCCCCTGGTGCTCCTCCTATCAGAACACAGCAGAGGCCACGCCCCTGGTGCTCCTCCTATCAGAACACAGCAGAGGCCACGCCCCTGGTGCTCCTCCTATCAGAACACAGCAGAGGCCAGGCCCTGGTGCTCCTCCTATCAGAACACAGCAGGGGCCACGCCCCTGGTGCTCCCCCTATTAAAACACAGCAGAGGCCATGCCCCTGGTGCTCCTCCTGTCAGAACACAGCAGAGGCCAGGCCCTGGTGCTCCTTCTGTCAGAACACAGCAGAGGCCATGCCCCTGGTGCTCCTCCTATCAGAACACAGCAGAGGCCAGCCCCTGGTGCTCCTCTTATCAGAACATGGCAGATGAGATTTGAGGGGTGAATGGAAAAGGTCTGGCCATGGAAGAGCCCCTCCCCTGGACTGCATCCACCCACCCCAGCTTCACCCACCTGTGTACTGGCCCCGGAAGGAGACCCTGTCGGGACGTCTGCTGCTGCCTGTCCCTCTGATTCCCTCCTGAGTGGCCCGGGGACCATTTTCGGAGTTCCTGTTCTTCCCAGATGACAGCTGAGGGGAGGGTGGCTCAGAGTCCAAACCTGAAGTAGAAAGAGGGGATTTAGGGGGGCAGAGGTGGGGCCCAGCTGGAGGAGTGAGCTCATGGCAAGCTCAGGCCTCAGGCCGATGCCTAGGTTGTGATCCTGAGCTACCTCTGGGGAATACGGTCTGCACCTTGGGACCCTGGCCTTGCGCTAAGCCAGTCCAGACACACTGGGGTGCTGTCCTGTGCCTCTGCAGCAATCCCGAGAGGTAGATGCCATCACTACTGTAGTCCCTTTAACTGCTCCAAGGGAGTAGCAACCCAGAGAGGATGATGTGGTGACAACGTGGTGGAATCAGGGACTCAGATCCAGGTTCCTTTAAGCATGTCCCCACGCTCTCTAGGTCTCAAGGTCCTTATGTGCAGCACATGTGCAGGATGACCCCTGAAGTGCAGGTCCCTGAGGTGACGTCTGCAGAGCCCTTACGGCTGCCCTGCACAAAGCACGGGCCACACACAGACACGCACCACAATTCAGAGCATGGTGACAGCCACAACGGATGCACAAAGGACTTCCTCCCGGTTTCCTGGAAGTTCTACTGCTGTGGTCCATGACCACTGAGCAACATGCCCAGGATGTGGCCTCCAGAAACCAGGCCTGGCCAGCACTCACTTACTCAGGGACATTCGGGGCACCTCCCGAGGCACTGAGGAGGACCTGGCTCGCCGTCTTCCTGCAGGTTGCTCTGCACCTTCAGGCTCCCCGGACAATCGCTCTGTGGATTTACTAGCAAACGGGAAGGGAAATAATGTCACTGGATGAGGTTACGCACAGCCTTTACAGATGGCCCACAAAAAGGCCATCTGGAGAACTGTTTATTGCACAACGGGAGAAGGACAATGCAGAGGACAAAATCAAACTCTGTTGCCAGTCTGAGGGACAGTTTCCTCATCTGTCAAACAGGGATAATAAGAGCACGGGCCTCCGATGGCTGTTGGAAGGATTAAGGAGATACTATCCATAAAACCCTTAGCCTAGTGCTCTCCACTGACACACTCAAAAGAAGTGAGTTGATTTTATAAGTTGTCGTCACAGATGCATGTCCACTAAATGAGTACATGAGAATCCTGAAAAAGGTCTAGCTCCTCAGCAACAGGTAGATTCAGGGATATACTTTGCCTCATGCTTTATTACTAACACATAAGCTTAGACATTCTTTTATGCATCAAATACTCTACCACGAAAACTGTGAGAGTGCATGAATGATGGACTGAGAGAGGGGAAGGGGCCGTGCCTGCGTCCCGTGTCTAGGTGAGCCACAGGCAGGCCGCATCTATCTTTGACAGGTGCCACAGGGACAGAGATGAGGACAGAGGTGGGTCACCCACCTGCCACAGTGGGAGCCCCAGGTGGCTGAGGAAGCAGCTGGCCGGTCCTGAGTCTGGGCAGGGTGGTCACAGGCAGTCGTTGGGTGCGCCTGGCTGCCCTGGTGTGGCCGGTGCAGGCTGTCCTCCAGTTGCAGACGGAGCCGGGACACTTCTGCCTGCAGTTCGCGGATGGCCTGGCTGGCAGGGGAGAGACAGAAACGGAACAGCTGCACAGGACTGGAGCTGGAGGTGCCCGAGGGCTGCCTGGATACGGTGGTCTTGTCCCTTCCTGGCAGGCACAGGGGCCAACTCTGCTGCTGAATGATTCTAGAACTTTCCTGTGCATCCCCTTTTCTTGCTACGCATCTGGACACCTGAGTTCATGTCCCTGTGCATTCTGTGAGCAAATCAGAACCTTCCTTTGGGGTCGGCCTTCCTAACATGCAGGGCGTGAGCAGCTGTCCTCCAGGTGGTGAGGAGGAGGACGCACAGGCCAAAGGTCCACTTTACAATTTCCTTCTGATCTGCGCTGGCCCTGGGCTGGCCTCCACCCCTGTCTCTTCTCCAGAGAACTTAACTTTGTAACCTGGCCTGACTCCATTCTGTCCTTGCTCAGCTGCAACATTTCCTATGTTCCACTCTCTGCTTCCGGCAGAAGATGCTTATCTATCTGTGTCCTCAACCCTCAACCACTGGCAGGCAGGACCAGGCTGTCCCCATCTCCTGACGTTACTGAGCTGGATCCAGACTTCAGAGGGAGCAAAGTATCGTGTGTACACAAGGGGACATCAGGTGTGCCCAGCATGCTGAGCTGGAAGGGTAAAGTGCCCGGGTAGGGAGACGCAGGGTGCACCTGCAAGGCCTGACCTCCTTAACGCCCTCTATGACCCCTGTGAGACCCAGGCACAGCCCGGCTCTTGCCCACAGCTATGGCACCGAGCGCTAGTGCCAGGAGCAGATGCTATTGTCTCTCTCCCATCATCCCCTGCAATGTAGGGCCTACTCCACAGGCCGCCCCAGCACGATGGCCACCAGCCCCACCTCTCAGCCGGCAGAGACCCCTACCCACAGTGTGGCGCTGCAGCCCGGCTCGGCATGCTCCTCTGGGCTGATGCACACTCTACGCTCGCTCTGGTGGCTTCCAGGGACTGCCCTCAGGGTCAGTTTTTGCCTGGTGGCCCCTGGACTCCTGGGTGTCTCCCAGTGCTACCTCCAGCAAATTCAGGTCTCCAGTAAGTGTGGAAGGTGGCACCAGAGACCTTTCTCCAGCTCTGTCCCGGCCAGGTTGTGTGTAATGGGATTGGGTCTCCATGACAATCCCCAGGGAGACCATGTTGGCGATTCCAAGGCAAACCACAGGCGGAGGCTGCCAGAGCCAGGCTCCTGACACCGTTAACCCCTCCCTGGAAGGCGGCCCCCTTCTGAGACCTGGGATTTGGACACACACTGGGGCCTCACTTCTCCTCTCTGGGGTTTGTGTCAAGATTTGGGGCTTCTGACTTAACTCTTTGGTCACCGCGCCCCAGCTGGCACTGAAATTCATCTTCCCCGCAAACCTACCCTATCCCTGCTCAGTGCGTCAGTAGCTGTAGGCATCCAGAAGTCGGAGGGATCTGTCTGGATTCCCTGATCACCCTGAACCTAACCAGCTACTGAGTCCTGTGGCTCAATGGCCGAAGCATCACCTCTCAGAAGCAGAACCAGCCTTCCTCCCTCCGGACCCTGGCTGGAGTCCAGGCCTCCCAGTCCTTTCTTGCTGGGAAGCTTCTCCTCCCACCCTGGTGGCCCAAGACCTCATTCTAAAACAAAAACTCCACCTTCAGCCTCTTGCTGTCCTCAGGATGGGCCCCAGTCCCTCGCAGAGGGTTCCACCAGTGCTTTCTCTGAGCCAAGCCCCCATCCAGAGTGCGACCCGACCCACGGCCTCTGAGGAGGAAGCTCTGAGCAGGGAGTCCCCCTACCCTGTCTGCTCAGCGCCCACCAGCTCACACTCGAGGGCCCAGCTGTCACCAGCAACACTTCAAAGGTGACAGGCACCCTCTCACCTTCAGGACTCCGTACACTCTTCCCTGTGCCAGCTGTCCCCCTCTGGGTCTCAGCTGACACCATGTCCCTCCCTGCAGCTCGAACTCGGCACTGTCTTAGCCTGGGACCTCTCCACTGTGTCTCCCATGCTGGGGAGCGTGGCCTGCTCCTCTCCATCTCATGAGACAGTGAGCCTTACAAGGCCGAGGACAGGGTCGTGTCCACCATTGTGTCCTCAGGGCCTGGCATAACACTGACACTTACGCTTCCAGGCCTTGGCAGGGGCCAGCGTGGTCAACCCAGCCCTAGACACCACTGATGGTGGCTGGGCCCTAATGTGCACACGGGGAGCACGACTGAGTGGGCCATGGGGCCCCAGGGGTGACTGCAGAGCCACCTCCCAGAACACTGAGGCAGACACCCCGTCTAGCAAAGGCCCGGGCCTGACCGCAGGTCAAGAGCAACGAGGGAGAGGGCGAGGCCTGAGCAGGCTGCTGACTGCTCTCTCCTACCAAGGAGGAGCTTGGCAGAAACTGCCGAAAACAGAAAGAGGGAGAGAGGGAGGAGAGGGGGAGAGACACCTAGAGAGAGACAGAGGGACAGAGAGAGACAGAGGGACAGAGATAAACAGGTGTCGTGGCTCCTGAGTTCACGCAGCGAACGAGCCACCTGCAGAAGACCCCTGCCTGAAGGGTGGACCCGCCCTAGATGTTGGGGGGGGGTCTTGGCCCCAGGCAGGTGAACCTCTCGGCCATTCCAGGAGGTCCCACAGAAGCAGCCCTGTGCTGGCTCTGCCTGGCCCCAGCCCGGCCCCTTGGTGTGAGCTACAGGGCCCCCGCCCCGTCACCCCTGCCCCCTGCCACACAGATTTGGGATTCACACAGCCCAAGTGCCCGACTTACTCTCGCCCAGTCCTGGAGAGGATGAGGTTGGGAGTGGTCTCTGGAGATTCACAGGGCAGAGGGGCAGCTGCGGGGGCTGGGGTGGGGGGCAGGCTGGTCGTATTGCTGGGGAGCAGCTGCTCAGAAGTCCGCTTTCGCCCCTCGAACTCTGAGCCAGGGCTCACTAGGGAGGCAGAGAGAGGACAAAGTGAGCGGAGGCAGAGAGGCCACCAGAGGCTTCGGCTGGGTGGAATGTGGTGGAACACGGCAGTGAGGTTGGGAGATGGCGTTCTGCAGAGGCCCCAGAAGTTCCTGAGGTGGCCAGTGACCCGCTGACCTCAGACCAGAGGGCTGGTCTATTCTGGGAGCATAGGGTGCTGTGCTGGGCCTTTGGGCTGCTCTGGCAAGAGGCCCCCTCCCCATTAGCACACTACCAGGTCCCAAGGGGTCACCTGGGCCTCCTTACTCTGTCACCATCTCATCATGTTGTTCAGGGACAAGCTTTGGGACCTCCATGTCCCTCTGGAATCAGTCACACATTTACTGTGTATGGGAAGAACATGACAAACCCCGACCTCTCAAAGGGACAGGGACCAAGGTGGACACCTGTGGCCCTGGCCCATGTGTAAAAGCAACAGGCCCTTGGGACATTACCCAACAATATATACAGGACACTGTTGACCCATGGGACAATCTAGGTGAACCTTCAGAGAATTACGCCAAGCGGAAATGCCAATCAATCCCAAAAGGTTCGCACACCATCTGGTTCCATTTAATCCACATTCTCGAGATGACAAAATGATCGACGTGGGAAGAGGTGAGCGGCTGCTGGGAGCCAGGATGGGGCAGGAGGGGACGGGCACGGCTATCCAGGGCCAGCTGAGGCTCTTCCTGGCCAGGGTGATATTGCCGTCAATGCCGATAGCTGCTGAGACCCTGCTCTATGGCTGTGTAGGATGTGACCCCTGGGAGAAGCTGGGAGAGACACAGGAGATCTCGTGTATTGAATCTTGAAAGGGCATGGGAATCTACAGTTTTCTCAAAAATCAAAAGTTTGATTAAATTTTTTGTTTTTAAAGATGAACCAAAAGAAGAGGCAGAGTTCATCTGAGGTGTTTCGAGTCCCAGGAGCGGGGCGGTGGCTGGAAGGGGCTTGAGTTCTGGGGTTCTGATCGTGGTCTGGGTTCAACTTCATTAATGTATGATTTTTTTTCCTGTATGTTTGTTTTATTTCAGTAAAAAGATTGTGTGTGTCTTATACAGATAAAAAAATGAATCGTGCCTAGAGTTTACAGACGTGGAATGTGTTCGTGACCCAATGTTGAGGGAAAAGAGGTGGCTGCCCTTCACCTACAGGACGTCCCGTTTCTGTTGTAAATAAACACGCGTCTCTACCAGCACGAGAAACAGCTCACAGGTCTGTCTTTCTTTCTCCTCTCTGTTCACCCCACCTGTAATTGCAGATTTTCCTACGACGAACCTGTGTACCGCTGTGTATCCTAAGGCACTCTCCTGTCCTTTGATTTTTCTCTCCGTGCAGTTTGGCCCCACCCAGCTCTGGCCACCCAGACTCACCCATTTCAGCGGCCAGCACCCGGTCCAGGTGGGAGCTGGGCTTCCTCTGCTGGAGAGGACAGCTCTGGCTGGAGGGGTGCCTCTGGGCTCGGCTCCTGGGTGTGCTGGGCTCAGAGGTTCTTCTGGGGACCAGAGGACCCCTGGCCTTGAGGTGGGAGGGCCCGTCACGGGGTGCAGAGGCTGTGAAGCGCTGGGCTGTTCCTGGGTGGCTGGGGACCAGGCGGGGACAGACACATTGAGGTCCCACCACGAGAGGCCTCAGGCCCTGGGCACCCAAACCCCACCATGTGCTAAATCAACAGCTTCCCAAACTTTGGGACTTGTGGCCTCCACACCCTGGTGGTACATCTCCAAGGGCACAGCTGGTCACACACCCTCACACACGCCCCACAGCACACCTGCCACACGTGCCTGGGAAACAGCTTGATTTCTGTTGTAGACAATATAAAAGAATGACTCATCTGTTCCTCACGCACACTTGGGACCCACTTTGGGGGCCACCAGTCTGCATGGTGACCCACGTCTCCTCTGCCCTTTCCCTCTCCTTGGGCTTCCCACATGGCCACCCCAGTGCCTCTGTCCCTGGCTCTGTTCACCTCACCGTCCCCACTGCGGTTTTCACTCATTCATCCGTTCAGTTGTTTATTTGTTCAACAAGTACCAACTTCTAGGACTGCCACTAATGGGCTGAGTGACAGTGGGCAAGTGGCTTCCCCTCTGAGCTTTTCTTCCCCTCTAGCAGTCAGATGGCAATAAAGGATGAAGCGGGGTAAAATGCAGGCCTGGGACACCCAGAGCCCCGAGCCCTGTGCTGGGCTGTCCTGGGCACCGGCATCCCTGGCTGTCCCAGGTATGTGCACTGGGGGACAGGGGGGCGGTCCTGGGATACCTGCTGTGGGTGAGTCGGTGCTCTGGGGTCTGGTTGAGGGGTGACACTCTGCTGGTTTCTGAGCCCACGAAGCCACTGTCTGTCTCTGGGGATGCCATCCAGGGCTCCTGAAAGAGGAAGTGTCCCTCTAAGTCGGCGGAGTGTGCGCAGGGCCCAGTCGGAAGCCCCTCCCAGGTGCTCCCACATCGCATTCCAGGCCTCGGGCCCAGGGAGGCTGCCCCGCTCTCACGGCAAGGCCCAGGGTCTGAGGGTCCTCTGGCCCTGACAGGGTCTCCATCCCTGAGAGGACCCCCAAGTTCAGCCTCCCTGAGGAGCAGCAGCCAGCGCTCCTGGGACAGGCACTGCGGCAAGGCAGGAATGAAAGGAGGGTCTCATCCCAGAATGTACGGCAGGGCCAGAGATGCCCCGGCCTCTCCTGACTGCAGACACACTCAGGCCCACTGCACTGGACAAAGACCCCCCGCACACGTGTCCCACTCTCCGGGCTCCAGCAAGGCCCAGAGAACATGAGTGATAGGCGCAGGCCCCCAGTGACTCCATCTAGAGCAGACGCCCGGCCACAGGCTCCTCGGGTGACAGGAGTGTGCGCGCCTCTGCTCACATGTATCAACCATCCTAGGAGAGGGCCTGTCACCTAAGTCACATTCCCACAGTGTCTGCGACCCCTGCCACAGAGTGAGAATAGCTACTTGATGGTGCAAAGGGCACAGAGGCAGGAACTAGCCAGCTATGACACAGCCAAGTTCCCCAAAGGAGGAACAAGAGCTCTAGCTGGAGGGACGGTCGGGGCTGGCCCGGGGCCTAGGCCCTGAGTGACAGGCAGGACCGTGGCTGGCAGAGACAAGAGCAGCAGGCACTCTGAGGAGGCCTGGAGGAGAAGCTCAGATGGCCCAGGGAGGGCCCGGGGCCCCTGCAGTGAGGACACTCACCTCTGGGCGGGGCCGGCCAGCGTGGCGCAAAGACTTCTGTGGCAGGTGCTCGGAGATGCCGCTTCCCTCCAGGCTGGTGAGACTGCTCTGGTGGTACGCGTGGGCAGGTGGCACGGCAGGCCCCAGAGGAGCGGCTCTGGCCTTGCTCAGACCCGATGTGTGCCCATCTCTGGTCGTGGAAGTCTGGAAGCTGGGTGGTTTCCCGGGTACCCTCTGTTCTCCGGCCTCCCTGGAGAGAAGCACAGCGTCTCTGAGCCCTGACAGAGCCAGGCAGCCAGGCCTGGGGCTGGGCCTGTGCTGGGAGCCAGGCTGGCCGGGGAAAACTCTGCAGTCAAGACACCCGGGGTCCCCTCCTACTTCTACCACCTTCTCACTGAGTGGCCCCGGGCAAGGCACTTCGTACCTTTGAACTTTATGTTTTTTAACTGTAAAATGAGATAACAACAAAACCCACCCGATCCACCCCAACAGAAGTTCTCTGACAAATCAATGAGGTGAAGCAGCATTTCCTAGACCTCAGGATTTTGCACCCCATTCTCCCCACACCAGCCAGGGCTCCCACAGACTCAGAGACCGAGACCACTGCTGACCGTGGAAGGCCAGCACTCACGTTACACACAGAAACTCACTTTGAAAATAAATACAAAAAAAAAAAAAAAGCATGAAAACCATCCTATTATGGTTGGATCCTCGGCCGCTCAAGGCTTGGTCTCCTGCTCCTGTCTCTCTGACTCTCTCTCCAAAGGAAGACAGGTGTCCAAGACAAACAGCACGAAGGCTTTGTCCTTGCCGTCATAGATGGTCAGAGGGGAGGGATGCTACTTAACACTGCCCCCGTCCTGCTCGGAATCACATCCCCCAGCACCCACACGCCCTGCACGCGTCCTCCCGCTGTGGAGACCGGAGGGGCTGGCCACGTCCACCCTGAAGAGCATGCAGCAGGCTTGGGCAGCAACCGTCTCTGGTTTCAGAGCAGGGGTGGGACATGTAGGGGAGCCCTGGGGACTTACTGCAGAGGGGCCCTGTGATTCCTCTCCACCTGCACCAGGTATTGCCTTGGGACAGCCCTGGTGGCTTCGGCCCTCCCTGGAGCTGGAGCTGGCCCGTCGACTTCCAGGGTGCAAGGATGCTCCTCCTCTTCCTCCTGCTCCTCCTCGTCCCTCTCCCCCTCCTCCTCCACCCTCAAGGCTTCAGGAAGGGACTTCACACTGAGGTACCTGCAGGACACACAGCAGGCAGTGACCTCACCCCAGCAGGACAGCTGAGACCCAGACATCCCGGCTGTGGCCAGCCTCCCTCCTGGTGGTGCTCACCTCTCCAGGAGGCCGTGGAAATCCTGCTCCACCTGCAGTTCCTTATGTTTGAGCAGGGCTGGGAAGTCTGGAGGCCCGTCCTCTACCTCAGTGCCACCAAGACTCACCTCCACATTCGTATGCAGCGGGCAGGTGCCGGTGGGCTGAGTCGGAAAGGTGGGGGGCAGAGTTAAACACGGCTTCTAAGTGTCTGCCTAGATATTCTTGTGCTGGATGCTGAAGAGTGAGGTATATGAGACTCACTAGCCAACACCCCATTATGCGTGTGCCTGGCCCGTGTGACACTCAAAATTGCTGCCATGAATTGAGCAGCTACTACAAGCAAGCACCATACAGTCAGTGCTTCTCAGCAATTCCCCAGTCCACAGCGGCCCCTACAGACAGATTACTAGGTCAACCATTCAGAAACCTCTGCGAGGGAAGAGGTCACCTCCCGCCCTCCCAGCCCTGCTGAACCTCTATCCCATGTGGCACACACTTCACACACACGTACTAAAGAGGTCAATTGGGAAACGAAGCAGCATCCCAGTGTGCCCGGGCAAAGAGGTACCTCTGGGTAGGGGTCTGGAAGACTGGCGTGGGTACCTGTCCAGAAGGAGCGGGTGGGTACGTTGGCGGGTGGGGGAAGCGCGTGGTGGGGGAAGTGTCCAGAGCCGAGTCGGACCCCGCTAGCTCAGGCCCTTGCTGGATGTGGTCCATGTGGCCCTTCAGCTCGTCCAGGCGAATGCCCAGGTGGTAGATCTCCACCTCCAGCTCCCTGGGGTGGGGAAACAGCGGCACCAAGAAGCTGGGCATCAGGGACGAGACCCCAGGGAGGCCCCTGAACGGGCCACTTCATGTCACCAGTTGGGTGACGTTGAGAGCTGAAATAAACAAGCCGAGAGAAGACTCCACGGGAACCAGGAGGCTTCAGCCCAAGTCCCTCCACTGTCCCCAGGCTGCCCCTCAAGGCCCAGTGAGGGGCTCAGCCCTCCTCCCAGGCCCCCACTGCTCTAGGCTCCAGAGCTCGGCCATCTGGGTGTGTCCTGACTGGGAGGACTGCTCTCTGCTGCTTGGTGTGCGAGTTGTGAGGCTGAAGTGACACCCTCCTGGTGACCCAGGGGACCCAGGGGCCTGCCCCACCTGTTTCCTGGGCCTCCTCAGCTTGTACCTGGCAGGATCGAATTTCCCAGTGGTCCCCTTGGAGCTGGCCAGGGGCGGAGCCAGGTGTGGCTCCCTGCAGGCCTGCAGGTACTCCTCCTCCAGGGCCGCATGGGTGGCCTTCAGCTGCTGGAAGCCCTGAAACCAGACCAGCCAGGAAGCCCTGAGTGCCCAGACCTGCAGCTCTGTTCTGCACACAGGAGCCCCGGGGACTGCTGTCCCAGCCCAGGCCTCTGCCCTGAGCTCTCTGACACCAGCCCAGGAGGCAGAGGCCTGACTCAGAGCCTGGGCACCACCCTGCCTGGGCAGACCCTCAGGGACCTGAGGACCACACAGTTGCAGTGTCCAATGTACCGTCACTATGTCCCCCTAAGAATCACACTCGAGAGACTCTGCAAAACTGGGTCTCAGAAAATGAACCTCTCACCCAAGTCCTAGTAGCCCATGATGACAGATGGCACGATGGCAGCACGCTGCCCGTGATGATGACCAGCACTGGCTGAGTGTGGCCTGTGCTGAAGCACCGTGTCCCCCCCGCCCCCCAGCTCCACCACAACCCCAACCAGAGGACAGTTTATCATCTCACTCAAACAGGAGGCAGCTGAGGATCAGGGAGGTCACTGAAGTTGGTGACTAAAGGTCACAGTGACTGAGTGAGTGGCGCAACCAAGATCTGCACCCAAGCGTGGGCGTCAGGAGGAGCTGGCTCTAGGCTCTGCTGCCCAAGACTGTGTGGCATTCTCGTAGCTGCTCTGGGCTTTAATCCCTCCGTAGTTAAATAAGGTGATGGCTGCAATTGCCTTCTGGGTTTTTATGAAGATAAAATAACGGACGTCAGGGGTTTACCATGGCGCCTGGCCGGCCAGGCTGTGGCTGATAAGGTGGTAAGTCCTGTGATACAGTGACCACTGCCTGGGGAAGCTAAGCAGGAGTTGTTCGCTCTAAAAGGAACCCTGTCTGGGACTCTCATCCGTAATGCAGTAAGAAGCTGCGAAGACTGTGCTCTGGGGACAGAGCTGTCTAGTGGCTCCATGGGCATCTCCTGGACAGGTCAGTACCTTGAGCTGGTCCTGGGGTGTGAGCTGCCCAGCCTGCACCAGTCCCTCGAAGGATTCTACCTGGACATTGAGAGGGGAAGAGATGTGCTCCGTCAACCCAGAGCCCTCTGCACCTAGCAGACCTCCACGCTCCTCCACGTCGCACTTCCGCCTGCAGGGCTGGGCCTGGCCTGGGGACGCGGGGTTTCTGTGGAGCAGGAGGCAGGTCCTGGAAACGGACTGCCACGGGCCTTGGCCAGGACACCTTGGGACATCTCAGTGGAGCCTGCTGGAACTTCCTGACAACAAAGCATACTCGGTCCTGTGCGTGGGTCCCAGGGACGGCGTCTATGGCAGCCCGTTGAGGGGTCAGACTGTAAGTAGCCTAAATACCTGTCCATGGACAGCACGCAGACCTAGGAGGAGGGGGACATGGGCAGGGTCTCATGTTTAGACACCTTCAGTGTCAAATCCAGGTACCGGACAGTGTTTCTAGTGCACTGCCCTCTACAAAACACATAGGAAACACGGGAAAAAATGGGATGACGTTTTCTTGTACAGTTGTCCCTTGGTTTCAGTGAGGGACTGGTCCCAGGCCCCCAGAGATGTCAACAGCTGAAGATGCTCAAGCCCCTTAAGTCAAATGGAGGATTTGCCCATGACCTTCATCTTCCTCTGAGGGAGGAGACGGCCTTCCCCCTGAACAGACCCTCTGAGCATCAGGGGTGGGGGTCTACACATCCCAGGTGCATCTATTTCTTCAAAAAATTTTTACTTGTATTTTTTTACCAAGTAAAAAAAGGAAGAAAGAAAAAGAAAAAGCAAGGGATTATTTGGGGTTCGCTTTTAGGGAGTCTCTAGGAGATCAGTATTGAAGCATGATGCAGAGATTCATATAATTATACTAAAATATGTCATGTATAAATTAGAAATGTACTATGAGTTACACGTACAATTTAAAAATTCCTTAGGAGTCATGTTAAAATGTCAAAAAAAGGTAAAATAAATTTTAATAATATATTTTATTTGACCCCAAATACTGCTTCAACCTGTGTTCCATGTAACAGATGGTGGGGGGATTTATGTCTCCTCCCCACACTGTCCTAGAGGGCTGGTGGGTGTTCTATGACCCTCTGCTTGTCTTCACTCAGACCATCCCATGTCAAGACCCCAACAGTCACAGGGGCCAGCGGCCTGTGTCCAAGAGTGCAGCCCGGATCACAAGGGGTCAGCTAGTGGCCAGCGCTTGCTGGCATGGTAGCTGACTTTGCTTTACGGAAAACACACAGGATGGGAAGCAAAGTTTCTCCAGCCAAGGGACCAAGAATGGTGGAGATAAAGAGGAACGGGGACCTTGAACATGGTACCCGAAAATGGATGCGCCTGGAAAACACCGCGGCAGCGTCAGAACTCATTATGTGAAATGACCAGAGCAGGCCAACGCAGACACAGAGCGCAGGTGAGAAGCTTGCTGGCCGGGACAGAGGGGACAGGGAGGTCTCACAGACAGGACGGGGATGTTTCTCTGAGGAAGGGGTTCTACGGTCCTGGTGCAGGTCGTGACTGCATTTCCATTTTTGCCTTGGCAAGGGGAGCTCAAGGCCAGGGTGGGATTGTGGTGAAGTGCTCAGGGTCCCACGGAACACTTTGCTTACTCATTTCACTAAGTTCCTATGTTTTTCTCCCCCCTTACTTCCTCTCCGCCCCAGTTTCTTAACTTCCTTTTTCAGAATGTGGTTGAAACGTTAGGTATTTTCATAAGCTGCTTTAAGCACTTTTGGAGAAAGGCCAACTGTGTATTTATTAAAAATCCTGCAAACGATTCAGTGACTTGGAGTGTTTGATGAGATACTGAGACCCTGTGGCGGTGACAGAACTGCTTTCAGTAATGAGGTGAACCACGAGGGGAGAGGCACGCCCTGTCACCCCTCCAGAATTCTCAGAGTGGAGTCTCGCTGGGCTCGAGGGGACGCCTGGAACACACATGCAGGTTTCTGGCGGGAGGCGATGCCGAAAAAGAAGGTCACGGTTGCTGGGGTGATGGGGAGGGGGCTGCAGCAGTGTGGCTTCTAAGCCAGGACAGAGGGTCGTGCTGGATGGAGCCAAGCAGACTCAGCGCAGGGGCAGGGGTGAGGGCGGGCATCCTAGAGGCCTCTTGAGACCTCAGGCAGTTAAGTCCTGCTGGGGCAGAGCTGGGGGCTGCTCACCTTGGCCAGGAACCGACTGGTCTGGGAAGCCAGGGCCTGGGTCCACCCCATGGAGGACCGGTCCTTGGTGGTGCCCTGGCTCTCAGGAAGCCACCCTGAGGCAGGCTTGCTAGCAGGCAAGGAAGGGCTCAGGGATCCTTGAGCTGGCGGCCACCCTGAAATACAAAGCCAGGGGCACTGAGACCAAGGACAGTCCTCACGGGCAGACAGTGCCCAACCCCAAGGCCACCACAGCTGGGCCAGCTGGGCCCTCTTCACCGTGGCTGAGGAGAAGCCTGGGCAGCGGGCTGCCCCATCTGCCTGCGAGAACCAGGCCGGAGGTGCCCAGATGGCTCGGCTGGGAGGGGCAGAGCTCCAGGCTCCGGCTCAGGAGGACCCAGGTTCCGGTCCGGAGCCTTCCCCTTCTTGCAGTGCGACCTCAGCGTGCCCCACCTCCCAGCCGTCCTGGGTGACAACAGTGCAGGCCTCAGGCCGACGGGGTGACCCGAGACCATCATGGCACAACAGTGCAGGCGCTACAGGAACGAAGCTCTGTCACAGCTCACCCACCGCCACCGAGATGTGTCTCCCCAGCTGACTGCCTCTTCAGGTCAAAGGGCCCAGGGAGCGCCTGGCTCCCTCCGTCCCCTGCCTGAGGCCAGTGCCATCTCCCTGGCAAACCGAGTCCCCCAGCAGAACCTCAGGCGGGAGCCTGCGCGCACTCCAGACTCACCTGTAGCCCCCGGGGCCTGGGGCTTCTCAGAGGGACCAGGCCACCACTCCACAGAGCAGGGCTGGGGGATGGTGAAGGACAAGGCCTTGGTCCCCTGGGGCATCATCCCCACCTGGACGCTGTGGCTGGGCTGGGGCGGGTCTGAGTACAGGTTCACCTGAGACAGAGGGAGGCGGTGCAGTCAGGCAGCGGACTCACCCGGGAGTCCTCAGGCCACTGGCCTCTGCCAGGAGCCCTGGCCCACCTGGTGATAAAGACAACCAGGGAGGCAGCAGGCCAGCACTGTGAGCAGCTCACGTGCCCTCGTCTGCTTTTTACCGTGGTCCCCAAAGGGAGGCAGGACGGGTAACATCACCCCCAGTTCCTAGAGGAGAAAACTGAGATTCAGAGAGGTTAAGTCACTTATTCAAAATTTCCAGCTGAAAAATCCGTGGACTAGGATTATGACACTGTTTATCTGACCCCAAAGCCCATGGTTTTCCACTATTAACAATTGTTAATAATGGCATTAATAATGTAATTATGCTATATAATATATAATAGTCATAATTATTGATATTTTTAATTAAATAAAATATTTCCAACAATTATTATTATATGGTTAGTGAATAGCAATCAATGGATGTTTGAATGAAAGAACAAGCCACCAAGTGGGCAAACGAGTCCCCTGCTGTAGCAAATTGCCACCATTTGAGAATGGATTTCATGAGCCCCGGGAGGAAGTCTCTGGAGGGAGCACTGACCAGGTAAGACCATCTGAAGCTCAGTGTGGTCCATGAAGGAGCTGTGGTCCATGAAGAGTTTAGAGTTGGGGTACCAGGGTCTGCTTCTGGGAATGGGGCCGCCTGAGCATGCCACGCCCACATGCTCCCATGACTGCCACGGCCTTTCCTTCCACAGCAGCAGTGCTGGGCAGCCGTGGCAGAGATGGCAAGGGCCACAGAGCAGAACCATCCACCTGGCCTTTTACAGAGTTTCCAGCCCTGGCTTAGTGCACATGCTCGGGAGTCACAGCCAGGTTCCTCCCCATACTCCCCAACCACACCCCTGGGGGTCCTAGAGCTAATGTTTCCAGGCATGAAGTAAGTGCCCAATAAACAGCGGTTCCCACCCTCACATGCATTGTCACCACGACTGTCATGATCGTCATCATCACTAACATCATCAGCACCACCACCACCATCATCACCACCATAATCTTCATCATCACCACCACCACCATCTTCTTCACCATCACCATCACCATCATTACCATCTTTAATAGCAACACTACTACCACCACCACCATCACCACCATCACCACCATCATTACCCAACCACCACCACTGTCACCATCACCATCACCACCACCATCATCACCATCACCACCATCATCACCAACATCACCATCACCACCATCACCATCATCACATCATCACCATCATCACATCACCATCATATCACCATCACCACCACCATCATCATCACCACCATTATTACCATCATTTACCACCACCATCACCACCATGATCACCATCACCACCACCACCATCATCCACCACTACCACCACCATCACCACCATTATCACTATCACCTTCACCACCATCATCCACCACTACCACCACCATCACCACCATTATCACCATCACCTTCACCACCACCACCTTCACCACCACCACCATCACCACCATTACCATCATAAATAGCATCACTACCACCACCACCATCACCACCATATCACCATCCCCATCATCCCCACCATAACTGTTCACGTGGCCAGGGTGGAACAAGACCCTGGAGGAGCTATACTCCAGTGCTGCCTTGGGCCCCAACATGATGTCGGGTGGGTTATCACGACTGGCTCCCTGCTGCCCCAAGGTCAAAGGCAGTTGAAAGTGGGCCGATGGGAGGGGGCTCCCTGGTGCCCAGGTACACAGCTTCTTATGCTCCTGTTGCTCTATGGGTCCTGGAAATCTAGCCCACGTGTGACTTGGCCCTATGGGTCCCCCTCTACCAGGCTGAGCCCCACCAGATGAGAACAAAGCTGGATTTTAATAATCCCCTCGCCATCTGCTCAGCCCTGCCCCCGCCCACCTGCGCCTGCAGGGGTTGCCCACAGCACCCCTCTCCTCCTGAGGTGACCCAAATCCCAGGGGGGCCCAGCCCTGAGATGCCTTCTCTCCTCACGCCCATGCCACCCCTTCCCCAACCCCAGACCCCACCTGGGGAGCAGCAGGAAAGTGTCCTGGGGGGCCAGAAGAGCCCAAAGCAGAGGCCCACAGCCTGTGCAGATGCCCAGAGGAGGTGGGGAGTGGGCGAGGGGGTGACAGCTGCAACCTGTCCCTCCTGGGACACGGAGACACCGCCCCTGGGGCTAGAGCACCCCTTTCAAGCCGACATCCCATGCTGCTCCCTGAGGCTGGGCAGAAGGCTCCCTGAGGGCTTCTGGGCAGGGTGGGCAGTGAGTTTGGGAAACACTGGGTTAAACTCAGGAGCATTCTCTGCACAGATGGACTCCTCCAGCCTTCAGAATGCTAATGGGCCTTATGAATGGGGTGGGAGGGGAGGGGGAGGGGCGGGGGGAGGGGAGCTGCACCCTGAACACAGCCTCCTGTCCTGCCCCCACCAGGGCTTCTGGACCAAGAACACACTGTGGGGAAGGCCATTTATGTCATCCCTTACTTCCTTCTGGTCACCTCAGCCCTTCTACATCCCCTGCAGCTGAGATGGAGGGACCAGGGCGTGGGGGAGGTGGTGACAAGGCAGCAGATGTGGTGATGGCCTCACACACTCTGGCCAGAGCCCAGCAGACTCCTGGCCATGCTGGTGCCCGGCCCGTGCCACATGGCCCTGGGCGCCCAGCTCCAGATCCTTTGAGGTTTCCAGCCCGGGGCTTGCCCCTAGCCGGTGGCTTCCCTGCTGCAGGTCCTGGGCCTTTACTCTGGCTGTGGTCCTGAGGTGTGAACAGTGCCTCTGGGGCCAAGTCGCAGGCTCTGTAGACCACCAGGACTGCCTGCAGCGAGCGCCGCTCACCATCCTCATCACTACCGCCTGCCTCCACCTGCCTCATGCCCAGGCCTACCCGCCATGCCAGGGTGCAGCAGGCTTCCCAGGATTTGGGGGGGGGCACCTAGAATGTGCAGACAGATGTCACCTCCCACCTTTGCCTCTCAGGCCAGCTGTGGGAGGCTGAGCAAACCTCTCCCCGGCCCAGCCTCGGTTTCTGCATGTGGAGACATCAGATGAGACGACCCTGGGCCCAGGCCTGGCACCTCTGACCAGTTTGGCAAGTGTCGCCTTCCTGTGGGTCCACACCCGTGCCCTCCCACAAACTTCAGGCCTGGTCTGGGCGGCCACAGGTTGCGCCAGCCCCCTCCCCCATGGGCTCTGGGCAGGGCAAGGGGCTCAGCAAACCCTAGGGAGTCACAGCTGCTGCTTAGCCCGAGTGGCAGGATTGGTAGGGGGACTGGGCTCCCTGACGGGGCTCTCTGACCAGGGCTCTGAGCAGGTGTATTCTTGGAGGTCTCCTGAGTCTGCAGAGCAGAGTATACAGGGTCCAGAATGAGGACCCTGTGGGACCTGGGGCAAGGTCTCCCTCACTCTGGGCCCGTAACCCCTGCGGCTGGGACTGGGCCCAACTCCACGGTGCTCTCCCACGGCAACCATGAAAGCAAAAAGCGGTGAGCTACGCTGAGCTGCTCCCAACCTCTCCTGCCTTTGGTCCTGCCAGCTGGACACCTGACCAGGGCTTCAGCCAGGCAGCCCAGTGCCCACGGGAAGGCCCCCGAGTCCTGGGTCAGGAACACCCAGGAGAGGAGGTCCTGGTTGCTCCCAGTGTCCACCCAGCCCATGCCCCTGCCCAGCACATCCCTGGTAACACCCCCTAATCCTGCCAGGTGGCTGCCATGCACGCGCCAGGTCCGTGCCGCCATGCTCACCACTTCCTTCAACCAGTGGGGGGAGGGGAGGAGGTGCTGCAGCACCCGCCTGGGCCACTTCCGGACCTGCAGCAGCCACCCCCCAGCTGGGGCCCAGGTTTCCCAACCTGTAAAATGGGGCTGCTGGCAGCTTTGGGCCTGGTGACCAGTTCCTTTCTCCTGGGACATTCTGGGTCTGCAGCAACTCCTGTCCCTTCCATCCCTGGGTCTGGCTCAGCACTGGGAGGGCCTGGAGGAGCCTTAAGACCCGGGCCCAGGTCACTGGCTCCCAGAAGGAAGGTGTGCTAAGCCCCTCTTACAGATGCGCCCCACCAGGGCAGGGTGGGAAGGGACGCTCCTACCCTAGGTGGTGGATGTGGGTCCCAGAACAGGCCTCCTCTCTTCTCTCACTGTGCCACCTCCACCCACACGCCCAGAAGCACCTCTAAACATGAAAGCCACATGTGGCAGGGGACGGGGCTGCAGCCCAAGAGGGACAAGCCGTGCAGGAGAGGGGTGCACCCACACCAGGTGAGGGGCTGCGTCTGTGCCCTGTAGCTGCCAGGCCTCCACGGCAGCCTTGAGGGGCAAGAGAGGGCAGGCAGACAGCAGGAAGCCACCAGGCCGTGACAGCCCCCACTTCCTGCCTCACCCCAGGAAAGAGGAAGGTCCAAGAGCAGGATGAAGCCTCTTCCCAAGACAGGTCGGAGCTGGATAGCACAGCAGCCTGTCTCCAAGGGACAAGTCTGCCCCACATGGTGCTCAGTCTCTGTTGGGTGGTGGGGACCGGATGTGGAGACCGGATGTGGGGGAGAGGGCAAAGGTGTGACCCAGGAAGATGAGGCCCAGGAAACAAGCACCGGGGGCTCGGAAGAAATTCTGTGCTAGTCCCTCGCGTCTCAGAGAGCCCGAGTTCTCTCTTCAAGGTCACACAGCTGATTAGTGATGGAGTCAAGAGTCACACCCCAGGCGACTTATCCCAAAGCTCATCTAAGAAGAAAAAGGCTTCCAGTGAATTTCCTGGTTGCCCCACAGTCTGCATTCATGGTATCTAAGCTCATCAGCAGTGAGCCCAGGGGGCAAAGTCATGGCCAAGGTCACAGAGAGACTGAGGTAGAATCAGGGCTGGGCTCCACTATGCTCAGAAGGGACCACTGATGTGGGACTTTCCCTTTTCTAAAGTGAGGCAGGAGGTGGTGGCCCCTCCCTAAGACCATGAGAAAGTGCCCCCTCTTAGAGGACTCGGACCCCTCCACCCAGCCCACCAGGTACCTTGGCCCCGAGGCGCAGCTGGTCGATGGTGTTCTCGGCCTCTGCATACTTGGTGAGGAGCTTGTGGTAGTCCTCCTGCAGGAAGGAGAGCACCACGGTCACACCAGGCACGCAGCACCCCGCCCTGCGAGAGGCCCTGGCGGCTGAGCCCCTCCCTGGAGGTCCTGGGTCCCTGGAGCAGAGTTCAAGGTGGGAACCCAGCAGACATCTCTGGGTGATGTATGTACAGACCCCCCCACGTCCAGATCCTGGGGCACAGGACAGCAAGGCCAGCCCTCAGGGGGCCATGGTGGATGCACAACCCCGCCAGGGTGGCCCTTTCTCTCTTCCTTGTCCAAATCCCCTGCCCAGCTCTGTGGGGTGGGGCCGCCCACCTTCCCACCGGCACGGCTCCTGGTGAAGCAGCCTGTGCTTCGTGACTATTTCAAAATCTGGCTGAACGGGTCACCCAAGGGTCCCTTGGTAGAAACACAGGAGACTCAGAAGTCACAGTTTCATTAAATCAGAATCATCTGCCTTCAATGATCAGTGTCAGTGGTCACCTCTGCAGAGTGAGAGGAGCCCACTCAAGGTTCTGCAGACAGGTCAGGAAAAGGGCAGATGGGGCCTCCTGGTCTTCCCCACGGGAGCCAGACCTTGGAGACCACCCGTGAGAGGCAGGAGTTTACTTTTCAGAAAATTCCTGGTCATGAATGCAGAAGGAGTGGCCATATGAGAATACTGCCATTTTGTCACCCAAATAAAGGGCTTGGTCAAGGGCACGACTGTCGGGCTGCAGACACCACGGTCAGGCCTTCCCTGGAGGGGGCAGGCAGGCCTGCGGGGCCGTTTCGGGCCACACACTCCTTCCACGGAGCCTGGGCCTCTGGCACACAGATGACGGTGGCCCAAAAAAGCATCTTGCTCAGATGGCCAGTGGCCCCACGAGATGCCCGGGTGAAGGTGCAGGATGTGGGCAGCTCCCGGGGGCACCAGTCTCCCATAATAAGTTCTAAGGAAGAAGCAAGAGGACAGACATGGGTGGAAAGAGAATCGAACAGAAGGGAAAGAGAGGACGCGGGGGGAGGCCTGGACATGGGGGAGACGTCAGACAGGAGCTCCTGGGACCACTCCCTGAAGGGACCCTGAAGGACCTCAAACTCACTGAGAGGGACACCGCGGGGCACACAGACCAGGGGTTGAGAGCCGCCTGGGTATCTGAACCACGGTGCCCAGGGTCTTTTAGGTCTCACGTGGCATGGCGGCCATGCTCAGGCAGGTGGTCATTACTGAGGCACTAAGAGGTGAAATGACAGGGGGCAGGGGGTGTCAGACACAGATGGAGAAGGCTCTGGCAGCTGCCGGGGCGCACAATGTGGCGTCCACTGTACGATTCTCCCCTGAGTGTATCTGGGTTTCTCCCAGCAGGAGTTGGCCACGGCAGACGTGAGCAGTCCTGGCTCTTTCTGACCAAAGGGCTTAGGTCTGCCTCATGGCTCAGGGGACAGCTCTCCCACCGCTGGCAGGGGACCCCTGGCCAGACCCAAGGCTCCCTATCCCTGCCTGCCTCCGTCATAGCCAACAGGTGCCCGGGTGATTCGATCCTAGGCAGGAGCCCCGCTCACCTGGAGTTGGTGGACCAGCTCAGTGGCCTGTTCGGGCGTCTGAAACTCCTGGGGTACCCTGGAGACGGGGTGGGCAGGAGGTGGGTCCTTGGCCAGGGATGCTTCTCCACTGCTCAGCAGCACCTCCTGCACGATCTCGGCTGGTGACTTGAAGATCAGGGGCCCAGTGGGGCCCTGAGGCTGCCTGTTATGGCTTCGGGACTTGGGGGGGCGGTAGCTCTCATCTTTGGGAAACCTCACTCGCGGCCCCACCTTGGAGAAATCAGGGAGCGGGTGGTTCAGACGCCCCCGGCCATACTTGGGGGCATCAGAAGAGGAGTGGTTGGCCAGAGTGGCTCCGTGCCTGGGCAGAGACCTGTCCTTCTGAGCTGGCCTAGGCCGGGGATTCTGGGGGCTGACGGAGCCAGTGAATCGGGAGGGCAATGGCTTAGGTGATGTCTTCGTCTGCTTCCAGGCCTGGTCTGCAGGCCGTGACAGGCTGGTGGTAGCTCTTTTCCATGTGCCTGCAGCGTTCTGGGGGCTCTGGGCTGGTGGTGCTAAGGGGTCCTGGAATTCTGTGGGCGTTGCCAGAGCAACACTGCCTCCAGTTCTGTCATCTGGGTTGAGGTGGTGGCGGGGGCTCTGTGGCAGGTTTTCTGCCAGGGTAGTGGGCTGGGGGACATCCGTCTCTCTCTCCCAGGAAGAATTAAGGCTGTCACTGCTGTGGCCCAGGCTCACGGTGCCACTGCTCCAAGACCTGGCACAGCCAAGTTCAACAGATGGGTTGACCTCAGAATGTTCTGGAAGGTGGCTTCCACTGGCTTGTTGGCCAGAGGCCACCCAGCCTCTGGCCTGAGCCTGCCCCTGGGCCACAGCGCAGGTGTTCCCGCGGTGCTCTGAGCTGAGAGCGGCCTCCTGTCCCGGCCGCGGGGGGCTCTCCCCAGGGTCCTGAGCTTCAGGACTCCCAGGGACTTCATCTGACTCTTCTTCGGTCATGTTCAACTGACAGTCCTGCTGGGGGAGCCAGTGGAGAGGCAGGGTGGAACTTTCTGGGCTGTCCACAACCTCTGCTTCAGGCTCTGGAAAGACAGTCATCTGTCACTTAGCGGGGGCTGGTCAGGCTATGTGACTTAACCCCACGTCACTTCAACCTCCTGCTTTAGGGATGGCAAGAATCCCGACGAGCCCCCACAGAGCCAAGTCCTTCTGGGATACCTCTTCAATCTCCAGCCGCAAACCTGGATGGCCACACCCCCTGCAGGGCCTCCCATCTCAGCAAATGGCAGTGCCACCTACCCAGCTGCCCAAGACAGAGGCCTGGAGGCATCTCCGTCACTTCTCTCCCCCTAATGCTCCTACTCTGTCACCTGGCCCTGCCCCATTACCTCCTCCAGAGCTCTCAAACTTGCTGATCGCTCTGAAGTTCATCACCACCACTGTGCCCCGGCCCACATCCTCTCAGGCCTGGACATTGCAGTAGCCACCTGCTTACCTCCTCGGCCACACCCTCGTCTCATCTGCACCTCCCTGTGGCTCTAGGGCAAAAGCGGGCCTTACGGCCCCTGCCACTCGGACCCCACTGGCTCCACTGACCCGTCTCTCTCCATGTTCACCTAAGCCCTCCCTGCTCCCAACCGAGCCCCTCGTTCCCTCCTGGGTGCACACGCTTTGCCCTCTGCAGGGCTCCTCCCTCTGCCCAGGGAGTGCCTCCTAGTCGTCCTTGGGCACCAGCTCCACTTGGCTCCACAGGGAAGTCCTGAGACCCCACCACGAGGTCACATTCTCCAGTGTACACTCTCAAGGGGCGGACGGCTACACTTTGTGGCACCCATCTCAGGGGCTGCAGCCCTGAGATGTTTGTTTGTGTCACTTGCTCATTAATGAAGGTCCCTAGGACACTGTAAGCTCTGCGAGGACAATGACAGGCACGGTGGGCACAGTTGCATTCATTGGCAGAACAGGTGCTCAACACCCGGCGCTGACTGGGGAGAAGGAAGGGGAGGAAGGTCATGTGCGTGAAGCCCTAAGGCAGAGGAGTGGCTGGATGACTATACAGTGGGTGCTCAGGAACACCCCCACCCCCACTGTCACTGTCCTTGTCCCCGTCCCCTTGTCACCCCTGTCCAGCCACCGTCTGCAGTGTGCTTGTTAAGCACCTGCTCTTTCGTCTTCTGGGATAGAAGAGTTTCATGAGTGACACCAAGAATATGCTCTCTGCTCTGGCTGGGCACACCCTGGTCACCCCATGTCACTTGTACCTCCCAGGCTCATTCTCCTCCCTTGACGGCCGCTTTAGAGCAGCACATCTGAGGCCCAGAGGCATAAACTTGCTCTTGGGTAACTTCAGAGAAGCCCTGGACCTCGAACCCAGGCCTGGCCGTGCAGTCGACCTTGGAGCCAGGGTTCACTCAGTTCCTCTGACCCCTCCCTGGGGCCTGGGCGAGTCACTGACCTCTCTGGTGACCGTATTCAAACTGGAGGCCTGGCCCTCCTACCTGGCAGAGCAGGGAGTGAAGGGAGGAGAGAAGGCCAGGCCCGGTCCAGTCCTGTGCCCAGCACATGGGATGGACCCAGGGACATGGTGGCAGCTGTTACATCATTGCAGGGGTCAGTTACCATGTGGCCCCAGGAAGGGACGCCTCTGTCCTGTTACACAGGGCATCTCAGTCCCCATTCCCTGAAGGAGCCCAGATGCCCACTGAGCAGGCATGCAGGGCACATCGGGCACAGGACACCCTGGCCTAATGGCTCCTCTCCCACCCACAGGGGCTCTGCTGATGCCCAGGGCCCTGAAACGGGCCTTTCCGTCACCATCTAAGTGCAATCGCACCATGTGTCAAGCCCGGTGTCCAGCGGCACCGGCACCCCCTTCACAGATGGGGAAACCAAGATCAGGGAAGAGTCCTGGCAGGAAAAGCCCGGGGATGGTCTGCGGCGGGCTTGACGCGAAGGGAAACGAGGACCACCAAGATGGCCACACTAGCGAGAGTCCAAGGCCTCGAGGGAACACAACCCCTGCACCAAGCCTTCCCACCACCAAAGGTGTCACAGACCAGGTGTTCCAGGAGGAGCTGGTGACACCGCCATTTACGATCACACGAGAAGCACCAGGACACCTGAGGCGTGGAAGGTCCCGCTGTGGACACCCACCGTGGACCTCCAGGCCAGCGTGAGGGGTGGCTTGTGGCAGTGTGGGGAGGGCGGAGGACTTAACAAGGGGCAGGTGACAAGGAGCACGCGGAACGCTGGTCCACGTCCCATCACGTCTGCACATCCGCGCCCAGGGAAATGGGGATTCTCCGTGGGTGGGATATGGAGCGACAGTTCATTTCACCTCTTTTTTGTGTTTGAGGGTCTGGTGCCACATGCAGTGTCACAGCTAAAGTCGTTTAAGGTCTTGAGTCATAGATTTTATATTATAAAATGAAGACTTTCAAGGCTCCCGGACTCCCTGGAAGCCGGGATGTTTTGGGGACAAGACACCCTCCCCACACCGCCACTGAGGGTGGGAGTGGGGGGTCAGACTCACCTTCTCCTGAAGACCCTCCTGACTCCTGCGGGTCTGGGGCCCACTCCAGGGGTGGCAGATGCTGCTGGGCCAGGCGGAAGTCCTCCAGGAGCTCGGGGCTGGCGGCACTGGGGAAGGGCCGCCCGTCTCCCCAGCCGCGAGTGTTAATCCTCTCTGCATCCTTTTCCTCAACCCAGGCCCAGCGCCGCCGCTGCTGGGGCCCCTTCCCTAGGCCCGGCCCGGCCCAGTGGACCTCAGTCCCCGAGCTGGCCATCAGCCTGGCTCGGGCTTCACCTCCGCCGCTTCATCTTCAGGAGACAGAGCTGCTGCTGGGGACCCCAGAGTCACCGCAGGCTCTTCTCAGCACCAGCCATCCTGCCTGTGGCCTGTTGAGGACACGATCAAGAGACAACGTTATTCTTAGAGACTCCTCCTTGGTTCAGAACAAGAGCAAGTCACCAGGAGGACTCAGGGGCCAGCGGGCCCTGTCTACTCCCGCTCCATCCTCTCGAAGCTGCAGGACCTTGGGAGAGACATTTTGTCTCCACTTGCTGTACTGGTCACACTGGGATAAGAACCTCCTTCTAGGGTTTTATAAAACTCCCTGGGACACTAGATAAGGGCACCAGCGGCTAGCACACCAACCACAGGTGTCTGGTGTCACTGTTATCACTGGCCATCCAGTGACTGTCCCTGTGGACCAGGGTCCACACACAGGCCCTGCTCCCTGGAGGACTGGCAGCCTGGGGGAGCAGAGATGCCCAGGCCAGCACAGCTCCAGGTGACAGGTGGTGACTGCCATTTATAATGGGGAGGAGAATTTAGGTTCAAAGTGGGGAATGCTGAAGAGATCATCCCAGGGGGTGAACTAATTGAAAACAGGCGCCCAAACAAACCCAGGCCCACACCTGTCCACAGCACTGGGCACAGCGGCCCAAGGGTGGAAGCGCCCGTGTCCATGGATGGACGGATGGGTAAACTACGTGGGGCTTCAGCACACAATGAAGTATTAATCAGCCACAAAAAGGAATGAGGGGGCTGCAGTCTTGACACTGGTCCCTTGCACCATGCGAAGTGAGGGGAGCCAGACACTGAAGCCACACGGTGCACCAAGCCACCTACAGGGGTGTCCAGACGGCAGGTCTACACACAGAGGGGAGGAGGGTGGGGTGGGCAGGGGCAGGGGAGAGAATGGTCCAGAACTGCTTGATGGGCAGGGTTTCCATTTGGGATGACAAAAGTGTTCTGGAAGTACAGAGGAGGGCGACCGAGTGCAGTGGACGCACTAAATGCCACTGAACTGCTCACGTAGAAGTGGTTGATGTATGTTCTGTCCATCTCACTTCGATACAGAGGAAAAAACTAACAGGGCATTCCAGACAAGGGGACCAGGGGACACAGGCCAGGGCTGGAGGGACAAGCCTGGCGGGTGCTGCCCTGGACAACGGGAGGTTTCCCACGTACTGGGGTGACTTGGGCCTGGTGACATTGGCAGCAGGGAAAGTGGCGAGGGAAGGGGTGGCCAGCCCCAGGCGGGCCTCTCAGGTCCTGTGTCCAGCACAGAGTGTGTCCCAGTGGGCCTGGGCAGTTCCTCTGGCTGCTCTGGGGGAGTGAAGCAGAGCAGGAGGCCTGGCCAGAGCTGGCTGTTGGGATGGACCCTGGTCAAGGGGATGGTGGCCCGAGGAGGCGCCTCCTCTCCTCCCCTTCTCCCTCTGCGCTTCCCGCTCTCCTACATCCAGCCCCTGCCAGCGCTCCCTGGGAGCCAGGCCTGGAGCGCAGGGCCAACAAGCAGGAGCACAGCCCTGGGAGCCCCCGGCCCTCCACCCTCCACCCCGGCCCTCCACTACGGGGCAGCCCCAGGCTGGCTCAGGAAAGGCCTGTTCTACAGGTGGGAGGACCAGCCCAGAGAGGGGAGGGGCCTGCCCCGAAGCCACACAGGGGTCCGGCAGGCCAGGAGGAAGTGGGTCTGCAGCCCACAGCCTGGGCTCTCCCCTCCGTGCTGTGGCCAGGGGGGTGCAAGGACAGGCCCTCGAGACAGAGGGCAGGAGCCTCGCTTCATTCAGTTGAGAAAGTGAACAGGAGGCTATTTCTGGACACAGAGCTCCCGAGGGAACAGTGTGGCCCAGGAAAGGCCAACTTCTCAGGACGGGGTAAGCACAGGAATGACCCTCGGCTCGGCTGCTGCCCCAGCTCGGGGACAGGGCCCCACGGCTTCTCCTTCCTCCTCTCTGCCCCCAGTGCGCAGCCCCAGAATTTCTTCCCTGTCACCCCTCGGGCCGCCCCTCAGCCCCATCATCCCCACCACGTAAGATGTCCCCACTCCGCCCGCCCGGCTGGACACGTGACATCTTCTCTGCCTCCCCTGCTTCCTGTCACAGGTGAACTTCTTTCAAATGATAAAACCAAAGCTCAGCAGCTGGAGCTGGGGCTGGGGCTCAGGGGTGGAGCGCTTGCCTGGCACGTGTGAGGCACTGGGTTCCATGCTCAGAACCACATGGAAATAAGTGAACAAAATATCTAAAAACCCTGAAGCTCAGCAGAGAATAGTGACGTGTCCAAGATCACCCAGCTGGTCAGTGCCCGGGCACAATTTGTGACCATCAGTCCTGGCCCAGTGGGCTACTGATTTTTATTTTTGATCACACAACCCATCAGTAAGAATATATTTTTCTTATGACTTCCCGTATATAACCTTGTGCCAATATACTACATGTATTGGATGAAATATCTCCAAAAGCGGATTTTCAGAAAGTTCAATAGAAAATAAATGTTTGAACAGACGTGCTAGTCCTCCTGTTCCCATGCCTTCGGCAGGAACTGTGGGCCTCCGGGATTCCTTGGCAGTGACCTTGACCTTGAGTGTGTGTGTGAGGATCCTCTGGGCATGCGGATGCCTGGGTCCAACTGCAGAGAGCCCAGCTCTGCCTGGGGATGGCCAGGAACTGCACCTAGCCAGGCCTGGGCAGGGCCCACCCTCGGAAGCTCGCTGGCCTTTCCTGGTTTCTGCGACACACAGGAACAGGGGCAGCAGGTGCTGCCCACTACCTGCTGCTTCTCCCTCTGAGCCCCCTGTGAATCTCACTGTCACCAGGAAATGCAGCACATCAGAGGCAGCTGCTGTCGCTGGCTGAGTGGAAGCTGACCCCAGGAGGACCAGCCCTGTCAGGCCCCCAGGACTGGACCTTCAGGCTCAGGGTCTCCAGGTGCTCTGGAGAGACCACCCCTCTTTCTGCAAATCTGCTCCCTGTCTCCATGTCACCTCCTCAACCTTCCACAGACCCCTGTGATCTTTCAGTTGAAAGATCAGCCCAGGAAGGGGCCCGGGGAGGCGTGTGGTTTTTTGACTTTTTAAAGGGCTTTTTTCTAACCCTGCCTAGAGCAGCCTGACCAATCACAGAGGCCTCTGTGTGCACCAAGAGGAACATCCTGTCTTCTGGGATGACTCAGTCACTGCAGAAATCTCACTGTGACCAGGGGACGCAGCACGTCAGAGGCCACTGCGGTGGCTGGCTGCAGGTTTGCACCTGCCCCTCAGGCCCCCTGCGTCTGTAAGCCTTCCCTGGGCAAGACCTGAGTCCACCACGCCAGCCACAGCCCTCAGTGCCACTGAGCCCAGCACCCGCCAGTCAGCTAGTCAGTCAACAAGCACACAGCAGTGCCCATCATGTGCTGCCCAGTGGGCATCAGGTGCCTGTGCTGCTGCCACTCTTGGCCTGCATCTGGGCTGAAACTGTCCTCACTGTCACACAGAAAGCACCACGCCCTGGCTGCTGAGGGCATGGCCTTGCTGGGCAGGCAGGGAAGCACGGATAGGGCTAAGGACACCTCAGCTCCTAAGGGCCTCAGAACTGTCACCCCCCGCCTCCCTCGGGTCCCATTTCAAAGGACCAAAGATCCATACTGAGCGCCCGGTGGGTACCAATCAATTAAGAAAAAAAATCCTGGGACTTCCTACCTCCTGGAGGCCAGGCACTACTAAAGACACCACAAGGAGCTGGGCGCGGTGCCCACACCTGTCACCTCAGTGGCTCAGGAGGCTGAGGCAGGAGGATCGCAGGTTCAAAGCCAGCCTCAGCAAAAGTGAGGCCCTAAGCAACTCAGCGAGACCCCGTCTCTAAATAAAATGGGGTTCCGTGGTCAAGTGCCCCTGAGTTCCATCCCCAGTACCCCCCCCCACCCCACCTCCGCCAAAAAGACACACAAGGAATACAGAAAAGAGTAGAAGCTTTCCAAAATTTCATACAGGATAGGAAGGGGACAATACAGAAGGGTCACTGAAGGAGGAAGCTTTGGGGTGGGCTTCAGGGACAAAGCAGATTGAGGGGAGAGCGAGGAAAGGCATTCTGGGCAGAGGGAACAGCACAGGCAAAGGCACGGGGTCCAAAGCATGAGCTGAACTTGAGAACCAGAGGCAGGGTCCTCAGGAGACAGAGGAAGGCAGGGCGCAGCAGACAGCCTCCAGGGGCGCATGGTGGGGTGGCTGCTCTTCCTGCCAAACCTGAGCTAGAAGTCGACCCCAGGAGGACCAGCCCTGTCAGGACTAAGGCCCCCAAGGACTGGGCCTTCAGACTCAGGGTCCCAGGTGCCCTGGAGACACCACCCCCTTTCTGCAAATCTGGTCCCCATCTCCATGTCACCTCCTTAACCTCCCACGGACCCCTGTGATCTTCCAGTTGAAAGATCACAGGTCAGATTGCTCTTCCCCACCACCCACACAGAGGGGCTCTCAGCCATTCCAAAACTGAGTCCCCCCTCCCTGGCTCGGTGGCTCGTGCCACCCGACTCCAGGGCGCTCCTGTGCATACACCCATCCACGCCTCGTACCCTCTGAAGCCCCTTCCCATCCAGCCAGGGACAGCCCCTGCTCTCGCCCCACCTTGACTCCTCCCACGTAAGGAAACAGAGGCGCAGACAAGCAGCCATGGCGAGACTCACAGCCTGAGCCAGGGTGCTCTGGCGCGAGGACCGGGGAACGGCGGCCACCAGACTTGTGGGGGAGCAGGAGGAAGGGGAAGGAAGACTCCCCGGCCCAGCCCCATAGCCAGCAGCCGGGTCCTGCAAGAGACCTGGCCATGGAGCTCAGCAGCCCGGTCAGCGGGCAGGCACAGACCACTGCTCTCCAGGGCTGGCCTCGGGCTGCGCAGAAGCTGGTCCTCAAAGAAGTATGGGCCACCGCCTCTGAACACACCCACTGCCCCCAGAGCCCTGGAGCAGCAGGGCTGCGGAGAAAGAGGAAGGGGCCCTGGTGTCGGGGATTCTGCCCTCACCACCCCTGGGCTCTCTGCCTGCCCTTATGTGGCAGAAAGGGCCACTCCTGGGGGACCCCGCTGCCTCTGGCTGCTCCCCACCCCGCATGTCTGAGGCCCCTTGGTGACCCAGAGTACCAACTCGGCATGTGCAGGAGGGGACGCCCAGGCACAGAGGGAGAGCACATCCAGGTTCACTGGACACGGGATCCAGGCTGGGCCTGGACTCTTGCACCCCGAGCCAGAGGAAAGCCCTCAAGTCCACCCTTGCCTGGCCCGGCCCCCCTAAGCCCGGGAGAAGTGGTAACAGCTGCTGCAGCGCAACTTCCTGGCTGGGCTGGTCCGGGCGGCTGTCCTGGAGTCTGCTCCGGACTGGCCGGTCCAGGGAAGCCGTCCTTCCCGCCAGCCCTCCCTCCTTACCTCGCTGGGGATCCACCGTCCTGCAGCTGGGGCTCAGAGGAGCTGCCTGGGAGGCCTTTGTTGTAGGGAGCCCCCTGCTCCGTCGCACCCTCACCAGCCTCTGCCAGGCAGCCCAAGCTGCTCACAGACAGCATCTCTCCCCACCTCTCCCCGCCCCGCGCAGCTGAGGCCACCGCCTGCCTGCCTCCCTCGGCAGGAAGCGCCCGCCTGATTTCCTACAAGTGTTTGTCAGAAGGAGGGGTTCGCGGTGCAGAGCGAGAGCCCAGGCGTTTAACCCCTTGCAGTTCAACCGCGGGTCTGCGCTGCCCTGGAGAGGTGCTCACCGGATCTTCTGATGTCACGGGCTTGGGACCATCTTACACACTAGCCTCCAGGTACAGACTGGGAGACTGGGGCCCGGAGAAGTTTAGAGGCTTGGCCAAGGTCACACAGCTGCCAGGGAGGAGGCCTGAAGCCTCTATCCTCTGCTTGCTTCTTCCGTGACCCCTTCCCTCCCGTGACCCCTTCCCTCCCTCCCGTGACCCCTTTCCTCCCGTGACCCCTTTCTTCTCGTGACCTTGGCCGACTATACAGTGGGGGCTTAGATTGGATGCTCCCTGGGGACCTTCCAGCTCCAATACTGTTTTCTAAATGACAACGGGATCCAGGCTGGGCCTGGACACTCCCGAGGGGGGCGTGAGACTCCTCACCTCCGCTACAGCCTCACCCTGAAGTGGCCACAGCCACCATGGAGGTAGGGACCTGGCTGAGCTGGTGCATTTCCCTGTTGTCAGTGCCCCTGGGGGGCTCCCCAGGGGTCCAGGCACAGATTTATCCAGTGGCCCTGCCATCCTTCCCCAGGCTGCCCAGCAGGCGCCCCCTGAGTGCGCCAGGTGCCGGGTGTATGGCACACACAGTGCAGGTGGAGCACTGACCCCTGCCCTGGGGACACACAGCCAAGAAGCTAGAGAGGTGTGCAGGGGACAGAGTGGGGAGGCGCAGGGTGACCAGTTCTGACACCGGGGCTCACCCCTGAGCAGCAGAGTCTGCCTCTAGTCACCCGTGACTTCCAAGGTCCAGGTGGCTGGGACTTGTCCTGTGGAAAACCTGAGGGACGAAGAGCAGCAGGCTGGGGAGGAGGCCTGGGACGAGCAGGAAGGGCTGTGAGAGCCACAGGGGTGGAAGACGGAGCAAGCCGCAGGAGGGCCACGGAGAGCCGGGGCCACGGAGAGCCGGGGTCGGGGGGCTGGCCCGAGGCCAGCGGGGCCAGCCAGGGGGTCAGGAGCCACGGTGGAGAGGGGCACGGGGTCAGTGGAGAGGGGCAGGGCTGGTCCACGGTGCCAGCTCCCAGTGCTGCCCCACCCTCTCTCCAGAGAGGCTCGAGAAACCAGCAGAACAGTCCTCACAGCTGTCCCAAAGCCTCCAGGTGACGGACAGTGGTGTCCCCATTGGAGAGAAGGCAGTCCCAACCTGCGCCCAAGTCCCAGCCCCACTTCCTGCTGGCTGTGACTTCTGACCTTCTTTAAGCCTAAGTTTCTGGCCATAAAGCAGGGCTAGGAGTAGCCACCTTAGAGCTGAGGCGACACCCGCCGAGCGCAGGGCAGGGGACCCGGAGCAGCCCAGCCCGAGTTCAGTGAGCTCACTACCATTGCGGCCAGTGCTACTTAGGCCCAAGGCTCCTGTGCCCTCCAAGGGCTGGGCGGGACGGCCTCTCCTCCAGCTTGGCACACCGTCCCCAGCAGTGAGTGTCTGCTGAGGGGGGCTGGGGGCAGTCAGTGGCGAGCGTGGCAGAGCCGGGCTGCACAGGCCCCTCTCCCAGCCCGCGCCATGGCTCCTCTGCCTCTCACCCACATCTGGCTGGCGGGCTCCAGGCCCAGCCCCAGCCCACCATGGAGCTGAGCCAAACCCCGAGGAGGCCCCTGTGGGCCATTGTGAGAGAGGCGGGCTCCCCGACTGCTGCCAATCACCCACCACCCTCCCTGCTCATTAATGCGGCAGCCCTGCCAGCCAGGCCAGGTGGCTCCTCCAGCAGGGCCCAACCCCCAGGCCCCTGGATCAGCCAAGCCCCTCTCAGGGGCAGCCTTAGCACTGGGGTGCAGGCTCTTAGAACCCCAAGCCTTGCTGTCCCTCGTCCCTGCCCTTGCTCACACAGCCTAGGACACACCCAGGACACGGGAAGCCACAGCTGCTGACCCACTGAGCCCTGGACAGCCAACCCTCACACCTTGTCCTCAGGCCGGGGGATGCGGGGCAGCCACGGGGCTTCACTGCCTCCTGGGGGAGCTGGGGTGGCAACCCCCGACCTGCTGTGCTGCTCTGTCTCTGGCCCCTCCCAGGCCTGCAGCCTCCCCCTGCCCTGGGAAGCCCCCACCCCCAGTTCACCCACCCTCCTGCCAAGTTGCTGAGCTGACCCCAGTAGTTAAAATCCACAGGGAGTCAGGTGAGGGTTTCAGGAGTGTCCTGGAAGTCCAGAGCCAACCCCACCTGGGAGAGCCAGGACAAGAGTCTTCCCTTCTTAGAACCAGGATTTAGAGATTCTCTCTGAGGCCATCGGAGATTATCTTCTAACTCTAAACTTCCGGGGTTCTTCGATATATTTGCCCCACGGGCAGCACGGCCATGCCAGTGGGCAGCTGCAAGGGCACAGGGCCGGTGGGCAAATGGAAACTGCAGGTTTCCCTCTGGAAGCTGTGTGGCCTCAGGAAAGTCACTTAACCACACTGAACCCCAGATTCCTTTATCTGTAAAATGGATACTGACTTTCCATGGTTCTGAGGATGATAAATGAGGTCATGGGCCTACGGTTGTTGGCCAAGTGCCCACAGCAACTGCTCACAAACGATGCCTTTGGTCTTGGTGAAACACTCATGTGGCTTGGTTTTGAATCCCATATGCTAAAAGGCACAGCCCACCCTCCCAAGGGGAGGGAAACGCTGCCATCTCCTGGTGCCCCCAAACTCATCCTGGGGGCTAGTGACCCAGCTAGAAATGATGTCCCCACCCTGAGTAGTTCAAGAAGGGAGGAAACAGGCCTCCCTTGGCTAACTGAGGCACAGGTCACAAGGAGGATGGGCGCCCGTGTGCACCACAATTAATGCTTTTCAAGAAATCAAACCAAAAAAGTGCATATACCAGGACGCACTGCTAACAGCAAGGCTTCAATACCTTGTTAATTCTCCTGCGTGGACTCGTTTTCACTTCTCAGTCCTGGGCCAATCCAAGGTGGCAGATGTTTCACGGGTGAGGAGCCCGGACTTCAGCCAGGCAGTCCAGATCCAGAAAGTGCCATCTCCATCACTTCATGACGGAGGCCTGAAGAGATGAGAAGGTTAGAAACAACCTCAGTGTCCAACAAAAGGGGATTCATGAAATGAATTCTATTTCCACTCAAAGGGATACTCTAGCCACCATGGGCATGCTACAGAGGAATAAAAATGGGGTGAAAAATCATGATGCATTCAGCAAATGAGCTGGATATAAAGTGATACGTATCAAGTCTGAGTCCACTAAAGGGAAAGAAAGTACAGTAAAACATGGAAGAAGAGAGGGAGACAAGGAAAAAGGGAGAAAGAAAATGTTTACAGAGATTATCGCTAGGTGCGTTGTAGGGAAGTTCACCTTTTCATTACGCATATTTTCTAAAACTAAGTTACTTGAACATAAGCATCAGATGAACATCTACTATGCTTGGAACACCTCCCCCCATCTTTCAAGACCTGGGGTGTGTTCCTCCTCAGTGTCCCCACCTATGGGGGCTGGGGAAAGGGAGGGCTCTGGGACCTCAGGGCTCTGGCATCCCATGCCTCCCACGCCTCCGCCGTCCAGGGTCTTGTGCACACTCTATGCACACACGGCCACTACACAGCAAGCACATGGTCATGTGGAAATCACAGAAAGGAAAGGAGCAATCAGCTCCAGTCCCACCCACTCAGCATTCTGGAGCATGACGAGTTGTGTCATTGGACCTTCCTAAGTAATCATGCATGTGATCGAGGGGAGAAGGCCGGAGAGGTTATATGACTTGCCTGAAGTCACACAGCACACTAGGGGCAGAGTTGGTCTGTATCCACAAATAATTATCCTCCAGATTAATTCCTTATTTAAAGGGGCTGAGTGGAGCCCCTAGGACTCTGACTCCTCCCCCCAGTCGTTAGTCCTTGGCTGTGATCCCAGGACTCCAAGGAGACTGACACTTGGGCTCCCATTATGGCTTTGATCCCTGTCTCTCTCCCAAAATAGGGAGGTGCTGGCAAGGACCTGGGGTTGGTGTGGGAGCAGCCCTGGGGTCTCATTTGGCAACCACACTGGAGTCTGGCTGCACCTGGCAGGGGACAGCAGGGTCCAGAGGGGACAGCAGGAGTGGGGAGGAGGGTCCGGGCAGGTGGGGCAGGATAGCCTGGGTCCTGAGCGGGTGGTTCAGACCTCAGCTGGTTTTGCTTGCAGACCTCTGATGGCCTCATCGACACCCGAGGACGAGGCTTCCCTGGGGTGAGCAGGGACAGCAACAAGAGGATGTGATTCCACTCGGGGCACAAGGGGCCCGCATGGAGCAGGGCTGCCGTGAGTCTCTCCCAGCGCCCCCTGAGCTCAGCCTTCAATGCCTCGCGCAGGCTGCTGGGTAACTCTCCTGGGACACCATCCTGGTCAGGCATTTCGCCTGTGAAAGACCACTGAGGGCTACGGTCACCTGGAGGCTCAAGGCCAGTCATTCTGGCCTGGAGTCTGGGCTCACAGCAGTCTCCTCCTGGGCCAGGGGGCCACCACTGTGACTCACACTATGGACTGAGCCCCATGGCTCTCAGGCTGCCTGACCAAAGTACACTGCTGTGGGGGTCAGGCCCCTGAACGACCAGGAACCCCCAATCCCAGCCACTCTGTAGAAGCAGGGCTGGAGGTACCCCTTCGGGCACTCTGCATACAGCTATTGAAAAACAAAAAAGGACAAGAAAAAGGCCCCTGGTGTTATTTACTGATTTCCCTAGTGTACATACCTCACCATGGCCAATTTCAAGCCGCCAACATGAAATTACTGAACACAGCCCTGGGTAGAGGGGCACCATCAGCTTCCACACCCCTGCGCATCCCAAAGTCAAGACAGGATAACCCTAGAGAAGAGCTGCGTGACTTCAGACTTAACCTCTCTGAACCTCAGGCTTCTTGTCTGTAAAATGGGGGCAACAATTACATCTACTTCAAGGCAATATCATGAAATGAAATGTCAGAATCTAGTAGGGCTCTGTACTGGGCACTGGGGAATGACAGTGGGGGCAAAACAGAGGCGACCTCCCGCCTTCCTAGACCTCCTTGCAGTAGAACCCAGGCAGAGGCTAGAAGCCAGCACTCACTGTGGTCAGAAACATTGTCGTCACCGTCCCTTCCTTTCTCTGGGCTGACCTTGGAACGTGGGAGCAGAAGCTGTCCAGGATGCCAGATGCCACCCACTCCAGCCTTAGGAGGTGCTCAGGTAAGCCCTGCCCTGCCCATCTCACAGAAGGGACAGCGAGGCTCTGGGAGCTGGAGGACCTGGCACTCAGGGGCCCTGTGGAGGCTTTAAACTCCCTCTTCCTCCTGCTCCCTCCTGGGGTGCACTGAAATGTCCATGGCAAAGGGGTTCCCAAAATACCCTCCCAGCCAACAGCTCAGCCTGGTCCCGCCCCAGTCGCTGGAAATCCCAGCCCCTGCACCTCGGGAGGCGGAGTCTGCGGGACGGTGGGGGCTGATGAAATCCCCTTGAAACAGCCTCAATCACGTGTTTCAAATGCAAACCAGCTGGCCTTTGGGAGGCGTGGGCACCTTCTTCCTCCCACGAAAGAGCAAAGACTGCCTGTGGGGATAAACCCGAACGCAGACCCCAGAACACCATAGGTTCCATCCCACAGTAGGTAAACCAGACTTAGGGGCCCGCAGCCCCCGCCCCCAATCCACTGGCACCAATTCTGTTTGCCTAACAAAAAAAGTCAAAAAGTGAAACCCACCAATTCCACAGGAGGCACCTGGAAAATTGTTTTGGGAAGTCCCTGTCTGTATCTAATCTTAGCCCTTTATGCTTCATTTTCAGTCCATTCCTCCTTCTGATCTACAAGAACAGAAGAACAAAGTCTCTTTTCATTGCAGCTTCTTTTCTCAGCCCTAAAATAGCTTGGGCCTGCTATCAGCAACCCTCCTTTCCAACTTTCTCATTCAGAAGCAAAAGGTTTTTAAACCTGAGTAAGGATCTGCTCCACGCTGTCACTTCTTTCAACTAAAGCCTGGGAAAGGAGCATTGGAAAAGTCACGTCCAAGATCAACCCAGCAAGCAGGCTCTGGTTTTGCTAGCGGCAGGCGGCAGTCCCAGGACGCTTCCCCGCTGTGCGCCCTTGGGCAAGCTGGCCTCCTCTGTGGGCCTCCGTCCCCTGGTGTGTACCAAGAGGTGACTGGCCTTAGTTCTGCTGTCGTTCCGGCTCCTATCACTGTCCAGACTGCCCACTGCACGCTAGGCCTTGCTCTCCCTCCCTCCTCCTTGCCAAAAAAAAGAGGAAAAGAAACTTGCGTTAGGCGTCCGGGGAGGGAGCGTGGCTCGGAGCCGCCGGGCTGCGCGGGCCGTTGCCGGGTGAACCAACCTCGCACAAATCCCACAACTGCAAAGCCCCACCTCCCCGGTAACCACAGCGACCCGGGCCACGCCTCCGGCCCCCGCAGCCCGCAGCCCGCCAAGGACCACCCCCGGCTCCCCGGGGACCCCTTCGCTCCCTGCGATCGGCCCAGCCGGGGGCAAACGGCCGACGCCCCCACTCTGCGGAGGTGGAGACTGAGGCCCGAGGGCGGAGACGCGTCCCCGGGACCGCGCCCATTCCCGGGGCCGCAGTCCGTCTCCGCCCGCGGCGCGCGGAGTTTCCGCGCGGGGTTTCCACGTGGGGAAGACCCAGAGCAGCGCGGGCCCTGGGGAGGGACCCCACCGCCGCGGTCCGGCCTCCCTCCCCTTGTCCAGGCCGAGAAAATGAGGCCCGCGAGGGGCCGCGCCCGGCAGGAAGCCCCCAGCTCCTCCCAGCGCCTCACCTGCTGAGACCCGCGCGGGAGGTTTCCTGGAGTTGAGCGGCAAACAAAGGCCTCCAATCCGCGCGCGGGGCGGGGCGCGGCGGGGCGGGGCGGCCGCCTCTTAGCTCCCTGCGGCCGACCCACGGCAGCGGGAGGCGGGGCCTGGGGCGGGGCCTCGTGAAGCTCCACCAATCACAGGGAGGCGGCTGCTGCGGCCCGCCCCCAGGGACTGGGGACCAGGCTCGCGGCTCGGGACTGAAAAGCTCACTTGTGGTAGGCTGCTGCTTCCGACTGGAGTGCCCCGGGGAGTCCCCGAGGAGATTATCGCACGGAGCCACCCGGAGGAAGAAATCACAAGCTTATGGCTGAAATAGGCTGCTTAATAACTAGCAATAAACTTTCCTGGGCCAGAGAGGGACAATAACTGCCCGAGATCGAGATCGCGCAGTGACTTCAGGACAATACTGTCCCCGCAAAGCGCACCTTGAATAATGGCCGTATTATAGGGTGTCAAACTGAACTAGGCTCTTGTGCCACTTACTGCCACTTAACTGCCACAAATGTGACTCATAACCTTCGAGACTCTCCACCATCCCCTCCCCACCTTTGGCATCATGTATAAAGATGTCAGGGCCACAGGTCCATGGCCTGGGTGGACCTCTGACACCTCCTGCCTCCCGGGATTATTGGTCCTTTAAAAGACACCAGGGCAGCCAGGCACGGTGGCCCATGCCTGTAATCCCAGCTGCTTGGGAGGCTGAGGCAGGATTGGGAATTCAAAGGCAGCCTCAGCAATGGGGAGACGTGCTAAGCAACTCAGTGAGACCCTGTCTCTAAATAAAATACAAAATAGGTCTGGGGATGTGACTTAGTGGTCAAGTGCCCCTGAGTTCAATCCCCAGTACCAAGGGGGGTGGGACACCAGGGCAGGTGTTTGTCCTGGGGCTTTGTGTTGTGGAAAGAGCAGGCCTGGGCCTCGGGCCTCCAAGTCCAAACCTGCCCTTCCTATCTGTGTGCCTTGAGCAATTTGATCTTTCCAAACCACCTGAAATGCAGCTTTTGGGTTTAGAGACCCACAGCAGGGAGAAACCCATACACCCAATGGATAGCAGCACTAGAGTCAGGCCCAGGAATTCTGGAGGGGTCTGTCCGTCTGTCCCCTGATGGTTGGACCAAGTGAGGAGATGGTGGATTCAAGGCAGGGACATCACCACCGTGCTGGAGTTCACAGAGCAGGTCACATTGCTAACCAGTGACCTTGGAGCTCTCCATTCAGCATAGGCACACCAGGGCTTGGGCCCCGGAAGTATGGCATTCACAAGGCCAGTGGCTCCTGGAATCCTCTCTCCAGGGCCGATGTTGGTCCAGAGATTGAGCCCCACATGGCATCCCACCTCCCCTGCAGGGAAGTGGCACTGTCCCCATGGTATCAGTGTCCTTCAGTTGCTGTGACAACTACCACTTTTGGTGACTCTGAACAGTATGCATTTGTTCTCTTACAAAGACAGGTCAGAAGTCCAAAGTCAGGACCACTGGGTGGGTTCTCTGCAGGGAGAAGCATCTGGCTTCTGGCTGTCCATGGCCGCCAGCACCCCTTAGCACCTGAGTCTGTCCTTCATCTTCAAAGGGTTCTGCTGCACCTGCTCCCCTCAGCCCAGCCCCTCTCCTCTTCTGCATCAAATGTCCCTCTGACTCCCTCCCACATCTGCGACTGCTGGCTGAGGTGCTGCTCCCAGATTCCAGGAGTGGGGATCTAGTTCTTGGGGGGGAGGGGTCTATTATTCAGCCCACCCTATATATTATAGGACCTTCGGGGCTCAGGTGAAATCACTCGCCTGTGACCATGGGGTTGGCCTCCCTGCAGTGGGACAGGGCTATTACCTGCAGTGTAACAGACCCTGCGGGAGGGAAAGGGCAAACAAGGCTCCTTGAAAGGGCTGGAGCCTCAGGTGGTTTGCCCAGCTGGAAAGGGAACAGGGACAGCTAAGAGTAGGATTTTGAACAAGACCCTGGAACCAGTGCCCCATAACTACCCCACCACCACCCGGAGCTCTGGACAAAGGGCTGGGCAAAGTAGGACTTCTTACACCTTTCCTTCACCAGACAGTTCCTGGACAGGAGGAAATGGGCACTGGGGCTGGCCCTGAGCCCCTACACCGTTTCCTTCATCCTCCCCAATCTGAGCCTCTAACACCCACTGCCCTTGACTGCTGAACTGCTGGGCCCGAGCCGGCAGGAGACAGCAGAGGTGACTGGGTGTTCACCGCCTCGCCCAAGGACCGGCAGGCACAGAAGCCCAGCCCTGCCTTGAGTGGCTACCACTGCAGGTCTCCTTTGCACTCCAGGGTCCCAGTGGGTAAAGCGGAAGCTGTCCCTGTCCTGCTTCCCCTGGGAGCAGCTCCCTAATAAATCACTTGCATGTAAATCCTGGGCTGAGTCAGCTTCCGGGGGAGCCGACCCTACAGCCAGAAATCCGTGCTTGCTGGGTTCTGCATCATGCTATGCCTGTTTTACTCTAAAAATATTATTTCTACACACTTAAGTTTTATCCTCAAACCTTCAAGTAAGTGCTTCAAGATGCAGGTGAGGCTTGGGCGCCCCTGCCCACCCGGCCATGTATCCCAGACTAAGCCATGGGGCAGGGGTTTCAAGGTGGCACTGTGCTTTCCACCTGTCCTGCGTACCCCTCCACATCGAGCACTCAGAACCCAGCCACCCAGGCCGACCACACAGCGCTCTGGCCCTAACCTTGTTCAGATTTCTTTATTGAAAAATTAAAGTCGTAAGCTCTGTATATAAATACACTGACCCTGCTGGTCATCTGCAAGGCCTCCGGAACAGGCTGGGGGGTGGGAAGCTGGGGCTGTGGAGTCCCCTGGAGTGCGGGGAGGAAATAAATAATAAATACTGTGGGGAGAGGAGCCAGGAGGAAGGGTGTGAGTGGGGGCAGGCTTGATGCTTGTTTGTGGCACTGAAGGTCCTGCAAGATGCCCCCGCAGGAAGCCGTGTCTGAGTTCTCCTGTGTCCTTGCTCCAGAGGCTCAGGCATCTGGGGGTGGGCTGGGTGCTAGCTGGCTGGGGACAGGAGTGCCACCCTCCAGCCAATGGAAGCAGGCCCTCTGCCCTTCCTCTTCTGTCTTCCTTCCCAGAACCTCTCATATTGAGCGCCCACCGGGTCCCCGGCACCCCAACTCTGACCTGCCATCTGTCGGCCTTGCCCAGTTCCCTTTTCCCCCAGTTCTGGTGCAGTGGGCCAGGAGGGAGAGGGGACGCCTTCCTGCCACCCAGGCCACGCAGCCCCTCCCCCTCGAGGAGCCTGAGAGTGGCAGGACAGGGGAGGGACCCGGGGCTGGGCAGTAGTGGGAGGCCGTTAGGCCTCGGCCCCTAGAGCATCACATTGAATTCGGTGACCAGGAAGTCGATGTAGTCACGGTCCTTGGTCTTGAAGGCCTCAGCGATGATGCGGGCAGCCTCCCGATGCTCCTTGCCCCGGAGCGTCAGCCCGTTCACTTCCAGGATCACGTGGCCCACCTTGAGCTGCCCACAGTTGTGGGCCGAGCCGCCTCGCTGCAGGGTGAGACACAGGGCAGGGGTCACCTGGGGCACCTGAGCGTTAGGCGGGCCTGGCTCTGACCACCCCCTGCGCAGCCTGACACTGCCAACCAGCAGTCACCCCGCCGGCTTCTGCTGCCACCCAGCACAGGTGAGGCGAGCTTCCCAGGCCTGGTCCAGTGGGCCAGAGCAGAGTGGGTCGATGTCCTCCTGCTGTCCTGCCCACAGCCCTCAAGGAGTCCCAAGTCCCAGTGCCAGGGCAGGGGCTGTCCTTGGATGCTGTCACCTCAGGATAGCAGCAAACCCCCAGGGATCCTGTGATACGGGCCCTCAGGAGTAGAAAGATGGTCAGCAGGGACCCTTGGGTGTACCTGAATGGTGACAATCCTAGGCAGGGGCTGGCGTGTGTTGGCGCCACCCTCGATGGCGATGCCCAGGGTAGCTGCACTTTTCTTCACGCGGACCAGCGTAGACGTAGGCTCCAGGAGTCCAGGCTGCAGGTGTAAGGAAGGTGACCGCAAGCCTTCTCAGTGGACAGGCCTGGCTGGGGACAGGGCTGGGCCAAAACACACCCCTGGGCCAACAGGGTTCAGACTCCATCCTGTGTGGGGAGCCTCCAGTGTGCAGTGGGTATCCTCGGCTCCTGAGTCCCTGCAAACCTGGGGCTGACTGCCCAGCGTGGCAGGGACTGGAGTCCAGGCTGTCTGACCCAAGGCCTGTCTCAGCCTCCAGGACACGTCAGAGCAGAGGGGAGTCCCCTCAAAGGTCCTGGACCAGCCTCAGCACTCAGTCACCCAGGGCCTCAGCACTCAGTCACCCAGGGCCAGGGCAAAGGTGGGATTTGAACTGGGCCTCCAGGTACCCGGAGAACCCCTCCGAATATCCATTCTCTGGTGATGGCACTCACCGCCTCCCCGGTGGTCCCTGCAAGCTGCACCCTGTCCCTGGGGCCTCCCATTCTGCACCTGGGCACCTCCTCTTGACCTCGGCACCACTCCCCCACTCACCGGCTTGGTGGCCCCCTCGGTGGCTCTCTCCGTCTGCGGCAGCTCCTTGCTACTCTTGTTCTTGGTGGAAGCCATCTGTCTGCCTCTGCCTGGGGCACTGGCCTCCAGCTCTCCGGCATCCACGCCACTGTCCTCACTAAGAGTCTGCCCACTGTCCGAGAGCTGGGAGAGCGTGGAGGCTGCTGGGGGTAGGGACAGGAGGATGGCAGCAGTCAGAGAGGGCTTCCTGGAGGCGGTGATGGAGCTGAAGGCTGGAAGGCGGGGGGAATTCTCCAGGCAAAGCTGGAGGGAGGAAGGAAGGGATGGAGGGGAAGGGGCAAGGACACTCCTCACCGCTCCTCCTCCCCTGGACCCTCTGCCCTCCAACAGGTCCTGGCCTGAAGGTCGCTACTCTGGGGCCATCTGCTGACCTCCCAGTTCTCAGCCACTAGGTCAGCAGACAGACTCAGCCCTCGGACGTAGGTCGCCTGCTTGGTCCTGTTGTTTATTTGTAGTGAGGGACTATGTATCCAAATTAGGGGACCTGAGCCGGGTGTGGTGGCACACCGGTGATCCCACCCACTCACGAGGCTGAGGCAGGAGGATCATAAGTTCGAGTCCAGCCTCAGCAACTTAGACCCTATCTCAAAAATTAAAACAAAATGGGGTGGGGCTGACAGTGGTTGAGCGCTTGCCTAGCGTGTGTGAGGTCCTGAGTTCCATCCCCAGGACTGCAAAACAAACAAAAATTAGGACATTTCATGTTAGAAAATATAGAAGTTTTTAATTTCTCAAGAAAAAAAAAGGATGGTCTGCCACACCTGGCCTGGATCCCAGCCCCAGAGGGGCTTGAGCTAAGTGGCAGGAGTACGCCCTCTGGCTCTGAGTCCCAGGGACAGCTGTGCAGGCGCTGGCCAGGATCCTAGCCTCTCTGAGCCTCACCTAACACAGGGGTAGGAGGCCTGTGCTGGGAGTTATCATAAAGACCAGAAGATGGCGAGCAGGTGGGCTGTCAGGAGAGAAGACTCACGCCAGACTGGCCCTCAACAGCTGCTGGCTCTAGCCCAGTCTCTTCACATGTAAAACAGGGCAATGACAGCACTCTCCTGTCTGGGCTGCCGGGGGTTAAGTGGGTTGATGGTGTAGGCAAGGCCCCGGGAGGGACAGTGGCTGGCCCTGGCCCATGGGAGGGCTCAGGAGCACAGCTGTTAGCTCTGATGCACACCCTGCTCCGTGCCAGGCCCTGACGCAGCAGCGGAGAATCCACCAATCCTGCCTCCTCTCCCCACAGCACCCCCCCACCGCTCTTCCTGACCTGCCAGCCCTGCATGATACATAGGGCACTGCAGTCCCCCACTGGGCCTGCTCCCTTCCCCATCCTGAGCGCCCAGTGTCACTCCAGCCACAAGATGGCAGCAGAACCCAACAAAATGTACCCACACCCTTCATCTGGAGACCCAGAGCCCGGCTCCTCCCAGCCTTCACCTCCCGGAGGCTGGATGACCCTGGAAAACCAGGGTCCCCAGGTCCTGGTGGCTGGCCTGCTGGGTGTCACTGTCTTTAGTCTGACCCTTCAGTGCCAGGTCAGGAGCCCTGTCAGGGGTCCAGAGCCTGCGACACACACCTGGACCCCCGCACGTACTCCAGGGCCAGGCCATGGGGGACAGGAGTGACAGAAGCCACCGTCTTCCACAGGGGACAGGAGTGACAGAAGCCACCCGTCCTCCACAGGGGACAGGAGTGACAGAAACCACCGACCTCCAGGGGGGACAGTAACAGAAGCCACTTGTCCTCCACGGGCTCATTCTTCCTGGAGGGGCTGGGAGGAGGGTGCGGGCACCAGCACTGGGGACCTGGGGGAGGCGCCCACCCCCTGAGCCACCTCGCAGGGCTGTCGCTGTGGGCCCAAACGACTGTGGGAGGCTGAGGCTCGACGGGGGCAGCTTGTCCAGTGGCAGAAGCAGGACTCAACCCCAAGTCCAAGACCACCAGGCCACCTTACTACTGGACCTAGGCTAGCAGGCCCCTCAGCAGGCACCTGGGCCCAGCGAGGCCAGGGGCCCAGGTCCAGAGCCCGCCCAGCCCGGGGCCGCACTCACTGCGTGTCTGGGGCAGGGCCCGCACTTCGTTCACGTCGGGCTCGCTGTCGGGCCGGTGCACCTCCACCAGGACGAAGTGTTGGTTCGGCTGGTCCAGGGGGTCGGAGGGCGAGGGCGGCGGGAGGCAGCCCCCAGCTCCTGGGGCTTCTGCCGAGGGGCTCCTCAGGTGTGGGGGCGACTGGACCCGAGGGAAGGGGCCGATGGGCTGCTGGGTGACCAGGGCCAGGTGGGCATCCAGTGGCCTCTTGGAGCTGGGTTTGGCCGGGGAGACGGAGGCGTAGATGGGGGAGGAGGGCGAGTCCTGGGTGGAGGGGGGCCCTGGGGAGGGTGCGGCGGCCAGCGGCGGGCTGCAGGTCTGGGGTGCGGAGAAAATGATGCCTGAGTGCGAGGAGGCGGAGGAGGGGGGCTGGGGGTCCTCCCTGGCGGGCTTCCTCGGCTGGCTGGGCGGGCGGTCCTGGCCTGGGCCTTGGCCCAGAAGCGGAGGGGGAGGCGGCAGCTTGGTGTGGGGCAGCTCCTCGGAGCTGGGCTTGACATCGTCCTGCCAAAAGACCCAGCAGGAGTAGAAGGAGTCAGAGCCCATGGCGGCTGGGCAGGGAGCAGGGAAGTGGGTGCCGAGCTCAGCGCTGGCCGTGCTGCCCTGAATAATGCAGCAGCCCACGGGAAACTGTCTGGCATGGCAGCCACCGAGGAGCGAGCGTCGGGACCTTGGCAGGCGTCTCTGGGGACTGCGCGGTTACCTTTGGGAATTGGAGCTCTTGGCGTCGGCCAGGGATTGTCACAGGCAACAAGACTTAATTAGAGGAGGATGGAGAGGACGGACACACAAAAAGGATTTCCTAGGCTTTTCCTTTTAGGGGATTGTCTTGGCCACTCGAGATGGGAGGTGGGTAGGACCGGAGAGAGAGAATGGACAGAAGGAGGGACACACGGCTGTGGTGCTGTGTGGCTCTGGGCAAGGCACGGCACCTCTCTGAGCATGTCACTGGGTAACAGCAGAGTAGGTGGGGATGTGGCTGGTGTTGGCATGGCGGGCAGCAGCTGTGGACCCACAATTCCTTCTCCCTCTGCCTGGGCAGGAGCCAACACTCGCCTGGCTCTATGGCCTCGCGTGCACCGTTCTAAACGATGTGCTTCAGTCAGTTAATCTTGCCACAAACTGCTGGGGTAGGTACTGTGTAATCGTCCCCATATCACAGATGGGAAACCAGAGGCACAGAGAGGCTAATGAATTTGCCCAAAGTCACACAGTCCATGGAGGAGGTGGGATTCAAACCCAGGCAACCTGGGTCCCAAATCCAGGCCATTCAAAAGCCACCTGGGTCAGACACACACAGGTCTCATGCTATAATCAGCATCCACGTCCAGCCGAGGCAGAGCTTAGGAAGGCTCATTCACCATGTGCCCAGTGCCTGGACGTGCATGACCATGTTCAGGTAACACATCGAAAGCAAGGCCCCCGGGCGGAACCCCCTGGGGTCAGCGCCTGCCCTGCCCACAGTCACCGTGGTGAGCTACCGCGGCCCTGCGGGAGATGGTGGAGGGGCCCTCGGTGCGCAGGTCTGCAGACACAGCAGAGGCCCTGTCCTCCTGCCTTCCCTGTGTCCTCTCCTCGTGGCTGTCACTAAGAGGAGCCCAGGGGACACCCGAGGGACAGGGCAGGTGGAACAGGGCCAGCGGGGCTTACCACGGACACGTCGGGGAGCGTGTTGACGCCGCCCTGGACGGCCTGGCCCGACTCCTCCAGGTCCAGGGTGTTCTGAAATGGACAAGAGAGCGAGCTGAGCCACCAGAGCCAGCGGCTCCCGGGAACCACGACCCTGGGCCTCGGCACTGGACGAGCTTCGCCTTCCTGACAGCCGCTGGCCTCTCTATCTGACCCCCGTAATGGGGGTTGGTTTTCCCGCCAGTCCCTTTGAAGCCGGTTTTCCTTGGGGACCTTCTGGTCATTTCTGGCCTCCCTGGACCACCTGGAGATGCACCACCGATGAACAGAGTCCCAGGGCCGGGGGAAGGCCCACGGCCAGCAGGAAGGACAGGGACATCTCACTCCTTCCTGTCTTAGTGGTCTGCATCCCGAGGGGTGGCCTAGGGCTTAAGTGGACCTGACTCATGTTCCTTCTTCCCTTTCTTAATGCTCCCTAAAGTGACACTGAGCTGTCAAAAGGCCATCTCTGGGGACCCAGCAGAGGTCCCCTCTGGGCTGGACTCAGGGGGCCGTTTCCATCCACAGAGCTCGGGATGGCCTTGAGCTTCTGTCACTGATGGATAACTTGGGGTGTCAACTGTACTGGCACAGAGAAGTGGGGGGTCCGTGGGGTGTTTCTCGAAGAGATCAGCGTCTGAAGCAGTGGGCTGAGTGCCGCTCACCCTCCCCAGGGCTGGGGACGTCACCAGTTTGTCAAGGGCCCCAGTGGAATGGGGCCAAGTTTACTCTCCGGAGCCGGGAACCCGGATTCTCCTGTCCTCGGGTCTCACCGCTGGGTGCTGGGATGGAACCTAGGCCCTCGCACCTACGAGGAAAGGGCTCCCACACGGGGCCACCCCCAGCGCTCGCTCGGCCCTCAACCTCCGCCTGCAGCACCCTCGGATCCTGGGCCCTTGGACTTGGAGCTCCAGCCCCGGCTCTCTAGGGCCTCCACCGTCACAGAGCCCGTCTTGGCAGGGGGCTACAGGTGCCCTGAGGGTTCTGCTCCTGGAGAGCCCTGACTAACGAGAGGCCCTGGAGGCTGAGCAGGCTCTGAAGCCCCAGACTGACCCCAGGCTGGGCACAGAGGAGGTGGGAGACCCGGACACCAGGTGGGCCAACGGCACCGGACACCTGGGGGAAGGCGTGATGGGGGAAGGCTTCCTGGAGAAGGGGGCACAGGTCCAAGCCGGGCCCAGAGGAACCATGGGTGTCTCAGACAAAGGAAAGGGTGGACGCAGAGGAGGGGACGGAAAGTGTGGAGAATCTTTGCGCAGCTCCGTGAGTCCAGCGTGGATGTGCTTGGATGCCAGCCTGAGGGCCGCCGGTTGCCATGGAGACAAGGTCAAGTTTGCCTCTTATGGAAATTCCCTTTGCTGGGCGCCCCCCGACTCCTGCAGCCACAGTGGAACACCAGGGCCGGCGCGGGGTCTTCACGTGGCCCTGGCGCCCTGCCTGGCTGTCACGAGGCACGCGCTGCTCCCTCACCTCTAAGATCCCACTCCCAGGTCACCTCCTCAGAGGGGGACCACCCACAGAAAATCGCAGCCTACCCCTGCCCTGCTGGCCTCCTCTCCTCGCTGACCCCTGCCCCCCAAGCAGCCAGGACGTAATCCTGGAAACACGAGTCAGGTAGCGTCTCTCCCTTGCTCGGGGACCCTGGGCCAAACACCACGCCCCCTGTGCCTCCAACTCGGCCCTGTCCTGCTGCTCCTCCAGCAAGATGGGACCGTCCCTGCCCTTGCCACCATCCCGTCCACCCCCCTGGCTTTGCTCCTCTGTCTGACCCTGATCGCCATGGGGTTTGACTGTCTGTCCCTCCTGCTGAAACACAGCTCTGAGACGGCAGAGTTCGGATGACCTGGTCCCCTCAGTGTTCAGAACAGCGTCTGCTGGGTAAATATTCATCAAGTTAATGAGTCGATGGGTGAGCGGATCGGCCCATCACCCTAGGGAGCAGGCCCGAGTGGAGGCAGAGGGGGCTGCAGGCCACCGTGGGAGCCTAAAGTTGGCTTCAGCGAGGGGTTCAACCTGCAGGTGCCCTGGGCTACAGGCTGGGACAAAGACACGGGGGCTGTCCTGCTCTGGGGCCTCTCCGGAGCCTTGGGGATTCCCTCAGTGGCCGGGCAGGCGTCTCCCAGTCAGCGAGGCATCTGAGGGAAGCTCAGGAGGGGGAGAGTTCTGGAAGGAACGCCCGGGAGCCACGGACCTGGACCCGGGCAGGCTGGGCCCTGGGCGCCGTTCTCCTTTAATTATCTCATGAACTTTCCCCAGGACCCTGAGGGGTGGCCCTGGAACTCTCCTGGTCACATTTGCCACAACTAAAGCTCCGAGAGGGAAGTGGCTTGTCCCAAGGTCACGGCAGCAGGCCAGGTTTCTCAGCCAGGTCTGGGTCAACCCAAGGCCCATGATGTCCAGCCCCACGGGGGCATCGTGGGAAGGAAGGGCCTCTGAAATGAGAGAGCCCAGCCGCCGCTGGCCCTGCTGTCCAGGGCATCCTGGGGCCAGGACAGAAGGTGGGGATGGACGGGGGGGAGGAGGAGGCAGGATCCCGCCTGGGAGGGAGCGGGAAGTGGGGCAAGCGGCAGACAGGTCGGAGCCCAGCCCTGCCAGACTCCATGTGCTGAATCCAGACGCTCAGGAGCCCCAACTCCCCGAGCCATGTTCCTTGTGCACCCGAAATAGCTGCAGACAGCAGGCCACGAGCTCGGGGGAGGGGTCAGCAGAACAGGCTTCGAGCAGAGGCTCAAGGTCAGAGTTCGTGCCTGGGCCTGGGGCACCCCCGACCACTGCTGGGGGTCCCTGCCCCTGCAGCCCCTGGGGCTTACACCAAGAGGCACACTGAGTCCTTCCCCATGGGACCCTTCACCCACTCTACAGCTGAGGCAGCTGAGGCTCAGAGAGGGAAGGTCATCTACCCAAGGTCACACAGCAAGGACGGGGTAGGAAGCCAACTCCTATCCAGTGCCGGTCTCTACCTTCCAGACCAAAGCCCTGCTTCCCACGAGGGCCAGGACACCTCCAAGCCATGTGCCTGGTCCCCCTCCCTCATCCTTGGCTGGTGGCTGTTCACAAGGCTCCCTTCCTTCCCAAGGGGAGACCTCGCCTTCATGCCTGGCTCGGCCCAGTCAGAGCCCAGCCCCCCCGAGTCTGGTGTGGGGCAGCTGAGAGGGGACAAATGCCAAGTGAGGAATGGTGACAACCCCTGCTGACCCTGCCGCGCACTCTCGGGGCTCCGCAAGTGGAGGCGGGGAAGGCTTTGCTGGGACAACGTCCAGGCCCAGGTGCTGCCCGGGGCCACCTCAGCAGGAAGAGGCTGAGAAAGAGTCGCAGAAGCGGAAGGCTCTGGGCAGCCTCCACCCGAAGCCCCTGAGGCAGGGGGATGGCGGGCATGGCCAGGGCGCTGTACCGCTCAGACCCCCTCCTCCTGCTGACCCGAATCCTGCCCCCGCCTGGCCCTCCCTGCTGCCCGGGGAAGGAGGTCTCAGTGGAAACTGGGTGACCCAGAATCTCCAGAAGGTCAGGGCTCCAAGGGCCCCGGGACAAGTGTCGGAAACTCGTCTCGGGAGGGAGGGAGGGACGCGGGGACCTGAGGGCCCGGCAGGGACATCAGTCCGTCTTGTTTCCACTGACCTCTGACTCCAGGGCAGCATTCCTTCCATGACACCTGGAGCCTCCGCGCCTCAGGGGAACCGGCCTCTGTCCCCTGGCAGAAGTCACAGGTGGGGCCTGCCTACCCCCAGGTACTGCAAGAGTCACAGCCTCCCGCTTGCAGACACACTAGAAGCTTCCGCACAGTGACCACAGTGTTTCATCACGGGGCCGGGGTCGGTGCCCTTTCCCTCCTGTGTGTTCACACGGAGGTAGATAAAGTGGCCACTCTGAGACGGCCCAGCCCCTGCCTGCGGAAGGGCCCACAGCCAAACAGTCAGCCCTGGTCCGACCCCAGGGCAGCTCCCCTGCTGGCTAGCGGGAAAGTCAGCTCTCAGCCACCTTCCCTCAGGCTCTGACCTGGTGGAGACTGTGCCTGCGTCCCTGTCCTCATAAGGGACACGGGTGGACTGCAAACCACTGCAGATCCAGCAAGGCCCTGCCTGGGAGGCACCGTCCTAGGCCACTTGCTCTGGTGAACCGCTGGGTCCCCAGGAAGGTGCGGAGGGCCCAGGCCTGGAGCAGAGTGGCCTGTTCCACTCAAGAGGGAAGACACACGGCAGCCTCGCGGGGACGGGGGCCAAGAACTTCCTGACACTGGGAGGCAGGGTCAGCCGACCCGATGGGTCCCTGCACACTGGACAGTCGCAACGGCCTCTCGGGTCACCCCGTCCTCCAGGCCCTCTGCACATGGAAGGGGGCATCTTAGATGCAAACAGCCCTGCATCGCTTACTAAAGACTCTCAGGAAGCCGGGACCCCAGCACCTGCTGCTCCCCCGCCCCCTCTGCCCAGCAGTGCCCACACTTGGGCCCCAGTGACCTCTTGCCCTTTGCAGTGGCCACACGCCTCCCAGCTCAGGTCCAGCTCCAAGCCGTCCTGCCCCAGCTACTGCCCTGCTGACCCCCAGCTTCAGATCTTAGCTGGGCCCCCTGTCCTCAAGATCCAGGCATCAGGCCACGCCTCAGCATGTCACTGCCCAGGGTGACCTGGAAGGAATGAAGTGGACCAGCCTCCTGGGGTGGGGGCAGGCCCGGCAGCTGCGGGGGTCTGAGCTGCCGCACCCTCGTGGTGCCCCAATGAGGAGGGAGGCTCAGAGACCATAAGGGGCCCGGCCAACACAGCCATGGCCAGAGCTCCCTTGCAGCTCCCTGCAGGGCCAGGAGGCGGGGACAGAGAGGCTCCAGGGCAGAGGCCCTGTCCCAGCACCCTGGAGGCCCTGGGAGCCTCTATCCAGGCACATTGGAGGCCTGGCTGCAAAGCCTCCCAAGTCCAGGTGGAAAAGTCTGAAGTCTAGACCAGACAGGGTCCCAGCTGCCATCCCTGACCTCCACGGCATCTGCTCAGGGTGTAGGCCTGGCCTTGACCTCCACGGTCTTTCTCTACGGTCCTCTTTCCAGCTCACGGGGGAGTGAGAGGACG